AGAGCTCAAACAGATAAGACTGTCCCCCTCCCCCACTCTAGCTGATCCTTAACAAGCAGAGCTTGTTACCTGTATTTCTGATGGCTGTATCAGAGGTTCCCATGACCTGTTCACCAGTTTGATTTATTTGTTAGAATGACTCATAGAACTCAGAAACATTTTACTTCCTAAATCTCCGGCATATCACAAAAGGATGTAACTCAGAAACAGCCAGATGGAAGAGATGCATAGGGCAAGGTTTAGGGAAGAAGCCTCTGAGCTCCGAGCTTCCATGCTTTTTATTTTGTTTATTTTTTATTTTTTTTTATTTTTTGCTTCCATGCTTTTTGAGCATGCCATGCTCCCCAAATCTCCGCTTGTTCACCAACCTGGAAGCTTCCAAATCCCATCCTTTTGGGCTTTTATAGAGGCTTCATTACAAAGGCATGATTGATTCACTCACTGGCCATTGGCGATTGATTCCACCTCCAGCACTTCTCCCCTCCTTGGAGGTCAGTATTGGTGTGATGGGAAATTCCAAACCTTTGATCATGTGGTTGGTACCCCTGGCAACCAGTCTGCATCCTCAGATGCTTTCCATAAGTCAACTCATTCACATAAACTCCGGTGTGGTGAAAGGGATTTGTTAGGAATAATGAGACTTTATTGCTCATATCACTTAGGAAATTCCAAGGATTTTAGGAACTCTGTGCCAGAAACAGGAGTGAAAACCAAATATGTGTTTCTTATTATACATCACAGTATCACTGTTACCCTATATGCCAAAGGGACTTTGCAGTATTAGGTAATTAGGTTAGGAATCTTGAGATGGGGAGATTTTCCTGGACAACCTGAGTGAGCCCAACATAATCACAAATCCCCCTCCTTCTAAGAGGGGGACAGGAGGGTCAGAGGAAGAGAGAATAGGTTGACAATGAAGACAGATGTGGGGGCAGCCCCAGTGGCCCAGCGGTTTAGCGCCGCCTTCAGCCCAGGGTGTGATCCTGGAAATCCGGGATTGAGTACCACGTCAGGCTCCCTGAATGGAGCCTTCTTCTCCCTCTGCCTGTGTGTCTCTGCCTCTCTCTCTCTCTCTCTGTGTCTGTCATGAATAAATAAATAAATGAATAAAATCTTTAGAAGGCAGATGTGGGAATGATGCTAGTCGTAAGTCAAAGAATGCGGGCAGCCTCTAGAAGCTGGAAGAGGCAAGGAAGCGGATTCTTCTCTAGCAGAGTGGCATTTATTCATTTATTTATTTATTTTAATTTTTATTTATTTATTTATTATTTTTTTATAAAATTTTAAAAAATTTTTATTTATTTATGATAGTCACACACACACACACACACACACACACAGAGAAGCAGGCTCCACGCACCGGGAGCCTGACGTGGGACTCGATCCCGGGTCTCCAGGATTGTGCCCTGGGCCAAAGGCAGGCGCTAAACCACTGCACCACTCAGGGATCCCTAATTTACTTTTTAAATTTTATTGATTTATTCACAAGAGACAGAGAGAGAGAGGCAGAGACACAGGCAGAGGGAGTAGCAGGCTCCGTGCAGGGAGCCCGAGGTGGGACTGGATCCTGGGTCTCCAGTATCATGCCCTGGGCTGAAGGCGGTGCTAAACCATTGAGCCACCTGGGCTGCCCCAGTGGCGCATATTTAATGCACATTTTGTTTTAGTTTTCCTTTGCTGCTATAACAAATTACCACAATTTACTGGCTTAAAACAATGCAAATTTATGATCTCACCGCTCTGGGTATCAGAAGTCTCTGATGAGTTTTATGAAGCTAAAATAAAGGGGTCAGCAGAACTGTTGCTCACAGCTGCATGACCTGAACCTCTGCTTCAGTAATGCAGTGTGTGCCAGGGAGATTATGTGGTCACTTGTTAGAGTTCAGTGGCAAGAGGTAACAAATATATAGAGGCAGATAAAACACGAGTGTGCAGACGCACACAGTTGCTGCAAAGCAGTACTGCCAGTATGCCAAGCGATTGGTACAGACAGCTGAAAGCACAATTTTGAATCTAACCTTCAGCAATAGAAGTGAGACTGGCATTGGTGGAAGAGGGGGGTGGGCTTTCCAGGTAAGGGGAGTAGCAGAAATAAAGGCTAGGCAAAGGAGAGTAAAAGCTGCCTTTAGAACCACTGGGGTGAACCCACGGAGGGGAAGCTTTGCGTGGAGCCGTGGAGTACTCTGATTGAGTAGGCTGCCTGGGCAGCCCGGATGGCTAGCGGTTTAGCGCCGCCTTCAGCCCAGGGTGTGATCCTGGAGACCTAGGATCGAGTCCCGCATCGGGCTCCCGGTGCACGGAGCCTGCTTCTCTCTGCCTGTGTCTCTGCCTCTCTCTCTCTCTCTCTCTGTGACTATCATAAAAAAAAAAAAAAAGAAAATATAAATGTTTCAGGAGGGCTATATGAGGGCAGTGTGTCTTTTTCAAGGAAGGTGAAGCCACCAGTTTGGAGGAACAAGGAACAGGTGTCTCTCTCCCCACAGATTTGCCTGTAGCTTTTCTGCTAAGAACTGCATTTCCGTTAGCGACTCTCTTCAAAGCTTTCAAACCAAAACTGATTCAATTGCTGCATACAGTTGAGGCCACATACAATACAATTGAGGCCACAGATACTACACCTTGAATTTATGATGAATCTCAGAGGCTTTCCTGCATTCAGTTTCTCTTCCCCATTGCTTCCCTGTGAGACCCGAAATGGGAGCAGAGGAGAGAAGGGCCCATAACTCTTGAAGATTTCAGCTAAGGGAGGCTTCCAATATCAACTCTGAGTTCCTGCAGAGGAAAGAACTTGAGATGCAGAAAGACCAGGAGACCAGCCACCCCTGTCCCCCACCTCAAGTCTAGCAGTCCAAAACAATTAAAAAAAAAATCACTTTACTAATTACTCAGGCCTAATTGTTTGCTATTTGATTAATTTAATCTTATTTTCCTCCGGAGGGCATTGCTAAGGTGATTTCCTTTTAGTGATGTGGGTTCCAAGCTCTGTATCGATCCCCTGATTGTAAATATTTTCCCTGGTTTTGTTCTCTTGGCGATTTTGCCAAGGGCACGATGAAAGCAGAAACAAAACAAAAGTACATTTTTTAATATTTAACTGACTGTGAGGCCCATATTCTATAAAGACTAGCAGTCGCTCAAAAATCCATTCTTTTCCCACCCCCTTCTCCTTTGGATTTGTGGTTGGGAAGGTTCTGTTTTGGTGTAAACTGGGATTTTTTTTTTTTCCCCACCTGGTTGCCAGGCAACAGCAGCCACCCCAGTCAGGATGCATAGAAATGTTAAATTGTTCCCAGCCACTTTGGAGGCGGGGCCTGTCAAAACTCCAGGGCACGTGGGGGATGGGAGGGGATGCTGGTTAAAAATTTGGAAGTCAGACCTCATCCCCAGTGAGCATTAATGGGCTGGTAGAGGGAGAAGCCCAGGAATTGGCTTTTAAAATTAGTGATGGCAGGTGGTCTGAGAAGACCTAAGGATCCCAGGGCTGAATAGCAAATGGCAAATTACATCAAGAGGGAGCTGTTTGAGCTTCAGTAAGAGAAAAAAGCTGAGAAAATTGGAAGCTGAGATGTTGTTTATTTACTCATACATAGGAATAGTCTATTCTATCCTATCCTGTTCTACGCGTGTTGAATGTTGACTCATCTAATTCTATGGCAACGCAATGAAGTTGAAAAAAATCACAGCCTACTTGACAGTGAAGAAAGGACAATACAGAGAGGTTGAGTAACTCACCCAAAGTTGCACAGCTAGAAAGGGGAGGAGCCAGGATTTGGACTTCAACGGGCTGGGTCTCTTAGCAGCACTGCTGGGAGGTGGTGAAGAATGCAGATTCTAGAGCTGGACAGTCCGGGTTCGAATTCTACTGCTAACCTGTACGGGTTCTGTTGACCTTGCACAGATTGGCAGATCTCCTTGTGCCTCGGTCTCCCCAAGTTTTAAATTGGAGAGAGTAATGATACGTGTCTAAGTATTTCCATGAAGACTAGAATTTAATACCTCTTAGCCATTATTTTAATTAAGTTTTGTGGGGTAGGGTAGAGCCGGACACTGAAGGGGTTCCCTGGTCCTACCCCAACTCTGACCCACCTCTCACATTTGAACTTGGGCGTGAGGCTCAGGGATGGTGTAGAGGAGGCAGGAATGGTATGTGGGGAATGTCTGATGTTGGGTAAATTGTTTTGTAATTTAAAAGGCTATCTGGCGGTTTGTGCTTTTTGGCCAGGAAATAGGCGTGAATGTCAAAATGGTCACAGCATCCAAATGGCCATGTCCAGAAGGGTACGACAAAGCCTTGGGGGCTCCCACCCCCTAGTTTATCCTTTTATACCAACCACCCTGTCAGAGTATTTGGGGTCAGCTCTTCTTTATCTGTCCTTTTAGTGCTTTTGAGGTCCCTTCCTTTTGGAATTGGGTCTGAAGCCAGCTAGGAATTAGGTCTCAGGGTTCTCAGAGTTGTGTATACAGGGAGGTAGGGCTGGGGATGAAGGTGGTACCATTTCTTTGGGGCCCATTCAATGGATGCAGCCATCATGGGAGCAAAGGTGGTGCAGGCAGGATGGAGAGGATGATGAGATGCTCTACCTGGATCTATGTCAGGACTCAAGAACCTTCCCCGGCTGCTGGGAGTGCTCTCAGCAATTGGCCCTTTGGGAGTAGCTTCTGCTACGGAGAGCAGGCTGGTCCAGGCCTGACTGATGGAAGGGTATGGAACCCAGCCTTCTGGCCCCAAATCACAGACAGCTCTGAAAGGTCACCTTCAGAAGTCCCTGCAAGGATTGGCCGAAATCTCTGATGCAGCGATATTGTGGTTCAGGCTTTCTCTGGACTGCTCTCCTCCCTCCCCTCCCCTCCCCTCCCCTCCCCCCCCCCAAGACCAATCCCAGATCAACCTTTGCCACTTGTCTCAGGTCTCAAGGTAGGCTTCCTGGGGGCATCTGGCTGGCAATGGCCAGCAAAGGTGGGAGAAATTCTAAGCAAATCAAGCAATAGACAACAGCCAGTGAAGTCAACTCCACTTTTTAATATTGTAACCATAATGCAAACAGGCATAATTAGACTTTTGTTGAATTCCATCAAGTTAGAAGATGAGGACAATGCAGAAGGAGAGCATGCGGTGAACACAGCTTGGACAACCTCGCGAGGAGCGTTGGGGCGGGCATCGGTCCTCGGAGGAAGGTGCCAGAGCGCACGGGACACTAGGCAGACATTAGCAGCATCGAGAGCTCAGAGGTAGGGGGACGTCCGAGTTTCTGACAGCGTGTGTGTGGTGACATGCGACACCCGGTCTGCCCACCTCCCCGGCTCCTCAACCCCGAATGGAAACCCACTGGTACAGCATGGAGGGGCGGCCACCTGCATGTTCTCTCTCTCTCTCTCTGCCTTCCAGGAAACCACTGCTGAGCCCTGAGTGGTCCTATGATCACAAGACAGCACGACATAAGGAAAACAGGGTGGAGGCAGGGTGCATGGCATCGGGCCTCTCTGGGTCATAATTAAAGCGATGCCAAGGGCACAGCATCTTGCCAAAATAAAACCGTCATCCTTCTGTCTTGGGAGGGAATTTGTGAAACCACTTTTTCACCCTCCCCCCCTCGCCCCCCCATCCCCCACCAATCCTTGGAGTCTCAGATAATGGAAACAAAGCCATCGGGCTGAGGGCTGCTTCACTGACTCCAGAAGTTCCCTGATGCAAAGGTCTGGGGCAGCCAGGAGAGATTCTTTTGCCCCCTGGGGACATCTGACAATGCCTGAAGACCTATTTGGTTGTCACATTTGGTGGGGGTGTCACATTTGGTGGGGGTAGGGGGACTGCTACTGGCTTCTGGTGAGTGGTCGCCAGGGATGCCATTCAACATCCTGCATACAATGCACAGGGCAGCCTCCAGCACAAAGAATTCTCCAGCCCCAAATGCCAATAGTACAAAGATTGGCTGACCCTGGACCAGAGTCAAGTCTGGGCACTTGGATGTCCTGGACTCATTTTCTAGAAGACTATGGAAAGCAGCATTTTAAGGCAGATTTGCTCCTGCATGCCAGGGCCACCTCCTTCAGAACAGTCTCTGTCCTGGACCAGACAGACATGCTTTGCTTCTTCAGAACCGTTCAGATCTTCCAGGACAAGACAAACTCGTAAACAAACAAAGGTATATTTAACCCTGACCTCCTCCCTTGCATGTGGTTTTGACAGATATTAATAGAGAATCGACTCAAGACCCACCCATGTTCCGGGGGTGAGAGTTTACTTAGGTCCTCAAGTAGGTTTGAGACTCCTCAGGGTTTGGGGAGAGGCAGCTTTGGCCACTAGGTGGAAACCTGGGGTGGACAGGTACATATGACAGAAATAGGAGAGACCAGGCTGGTGTCAGCCTCCAAAGGTCAGATTCAGGTTCGTGGGGACCATCTGTGTTGAGTTCTGGGGGGCAGGGACTCTCAGATCTATCTTCCATCATCCCAGCCCCTGGTCTATAATTCTTAAGCCAAACAGGACATTTGGATGCAGGAAACTTGACAAGGGCTGGGAGACATCAAGGAGTACACACAAGTCATACAGGATGCCTGGATGAATATTTCTTTCTCCTTGTCACCTGCAGGAAGTCTCAGATTAACCTGCCAATTCAAACAGAAGGCTTTGCTCGTAAGGTGGCGACATGCTGGAGGTCAGGGCAGTGGAGATGTAAATATACAAGTTAATGGTGAGTTTAACACAAAATCTTAACCCCACAGTTCTCCCGAAGGCATGAGTGGTCAGCGCTCTAGCGGTGGAAGGGCCCAGACATCTGGCTTGCCCATCCTGGCAGAGAGACAGTTTGCCTGTGATCTGGGTCAGAAAATCTCACTTGTTTTGGACTTAGGGCAAAACCTGACCTCCTTTTGTAAGTCCAAAGCAGGTGGCTGCTGAGAATGTGTTTGGCAAGAGAATCCTATATTCTAAGGCCAATGTCTAATTGGCCTGGGGTCAGTTTTCTTTCTGTGCATCTAGGCATGGCTGGACCTTGGAAGGATGCACCCTGTTGGCTGGTGGGTAAGCTGGCTATCATGTCAACAACTGCAAACTCATCTTTCCCTGAGGCTGCTTTTTCTCATGAGACTCCTTTCTCTGCCTAGAGGTAAGACTCTTGACTTTTTCATTTGTTTTCCTTCTCCACAACAGACAGGTCTCCAGGTCTTGCTGATCAGCCCCTGGAGTCACTGTATCACTACATCTGCCTTTTCCCTCCTTCCAGCCTTGGTTACTGCAATAGTCTACAGATCAGCAGACCAGCTGTCCAGGCTCTGTGCTGCAGCCAGAATATTCTTTTCCAAGCACAACTCCAATTACCTTACTTTTCCTGTTTGAAAAACATTCCTAGGGATCCCCTGCTGCCTACCAAATAGTCCAAATTCCTTGACATGTGCTCACCTGTCCCTACCACCTGGTCCTTGCTCACCTTCCCAGCATCTGGCTCATCATCCTCAGCCTTCCAAAGCTGTGCCTGAAGCCAGCCTCGATTTACTACAACACACTCCCACCTGCGCCTTTCCTCCCACTCTTCCTACTTCCTGGATATCTTATCTCCCTAAACCTGTAGGTGGAATCCACCCATTTCTCAAATCCCAGACATTTATGGCAATTCTAAGAATTGTGTGTCTACATACGAGATTCCAATCATCTTTACAAACCGTACGCTCCGCTGTGACTTCTGCATACAGGTATTGATGATATGGAAAAATAAAATTTGAAAGCTTCAGTGGGCCAGGACCTGGCTATTTTTTGGGCATTATCTCATTTAACCCGCTTTGTTCTATAAGGGGATATAGAGACATGGGAAGGTTAAGTCGCCAGCCCAGGGCTGTCTGCAGAAATGGGAAGTGGGGAGCGCAAGAGTTAGCATTTGGATGCAGGGCTGCTTCCAAAGGCTCCACTTTGGTGGATCTGAAGCATTTCCCTGAATGGAAAGGATATCTGGCCATCTCCCTCCTTAGAAACCAAGCGGGAAAATCCTCCTCCTCTCAGGGAGTTTAATGACCTCTGCTCCTTTTGTAACACAAGGTGGGGCAATTGGTTTCCTAGTAATGATGGGGTGGGGGGCATGGCCATTTCAGCTTTTCCCCATTTTAGGGGATGTCTCCTTCCTTCTGGCCAAACTCACTTTTGTTAAATGGAGTTGGAGCCACTGCAGGCCAGTCCTGGGGGAAGATGGACAAAAAGGTCTGTAATCTAGGTAACCCCCAAATGCCCAATCAATCCTACTTTTCTGCCCACTTGTTGTGAAACCAATTTTTGTGCCAGATTTGGCTACTGGGAACTGACGTAAAAAACCACCACCAGAGGGCAGCATTGACCCACTCTGGATCAGAGCTAACCCCTAAATCAAGATTTCACACTCTGCCCCTTTGATAGGCTCCTTACAGGGAGGCTGTTCATAACAGGGATTCTGGCAAATGAGAGAAATACATCAGACCAGAATCTTCCAGCGGGGAGTCCGGAAGTGGCTTGTGATGGGGGTTGAAAGGTGTTTACCTTAAAAACAAAAAATCCTTCTCGGGAAGAAGGATGCATCCAGGTTCTATAATCGCTGTGTCGGATAGACAAGATGAGTTTCCAAGCGCCAGCCTGCTACTAGGGGCAGGGATGCATGAAGAAGGTGCTTGGCACACAGGAAGTGCAGACGTGGTAACAGGGAAAACAGCTCAGCGTTGGGGGGTAGGGAATGGGATCCCAAAATCCCAAGAGGGAGGGGGGCTGCCCCAGAGGGTGGAGAAGAAAGGCCATGTCTAGCTTGTCCTTTGCCTTTAGGAATCTTGGAGGTTGTCTCCTCCTGGGGACACCTCTTTGGCACCCTGTGTCCCAAGGCCCTTCCAGAGAGGGCCAGTGCCCTTTCTCTTTGGCAGCCTCCTAAACGGAGCATCAGGAAATACCCATTGTGCCATATAGAAAGGCAATGTGTCTCTCTGTAGGACAAAACATAATGCAACAGAACAGAAGAACATACAGGGTGGCAGGCTTCCCCTCCAGGAAGGCTTCTCCTTTACCCTGGGGGTGGAGGGGGGGCAGGGCAGGCCCCTCCAGGAATTTTGTGGCTCCCTCCAGGCCTGTCACTGATTCTGAGCACTTCCAGGTAGAGAGGGACCCTCCCAGCTCATTCATTCGGACAGGCAACCTGCTGAGGACAAACTGCAACTGGCTGATTGTCACTGAAGACAAGACTGTGATGCTCATTTTGGATGGGAGTCAAGGCTCAATTTATTTGTCAAAATTATTTGATCAGGCTAGAGACTTGGGGGATCACTTTTAGAAGGCCAAGGGCATGAGGACCAGGCCACCGTGCGTTGTGGTCCTGTAAAAGAAGCCCTGTTGGTGCCTCATGGTGGCTTCCTTCTCCAACCTATCCGCGTTAGCGGCTTCTATTATTTCCTTCCTAGGGTAGAAGGGTGAGTCTTTGGGGCATTTGGGGCAATAAAAAAATAGCAATGATACTCTTCCTTGATATTGTTTCCAGTCTCTACCACTTTAAAAATCTGATCTCTTCCAACTGTTTTAGCTTCATCACATCACGAGGGGAAACTGAGGTAAAGTAACCTGTCCGAAGTCACCCGGTGGCAAAGATGGGACAATTCTTATTTCCCACATACTCTCTTGGAGATTACTTCTCCGGTGTTCTGGGTGGGACTGTCTGGGGAGGGCCAAATCAGGTGATCCCATCTGGGGCAGGGTTAGGGTTGCAGAGGAGGTGTGCTTAATCCACCAGACGGGTTAGTTTCCCAGCGAGGGCTCTGCTAACCGGTGCCAGAATCTAAATGCAAGCAATTCTGTGAGCCCCCTTTTGATGGAGGCTCCCTCCTTAATCATCACGCTGGCCTTGCCCTGCCCTTTGTAACCAGGACAAGTGTTTCAGGGACACGACGAGCATAGATATTAATTATGGACGCGTGAAGAGCTAGGGCACGGTTCCTGGCACTGAGAGTCTGCAGGGAACACACTTACACAGGCAGACGGAGGCCCAGGCCTGTCACACGCACGCACACCTGTGCACACACACCCACACACACATGCGTGCACGCGATCAGGACGTCATCATAAAAAAGGATAAAGGGAGGCTTCAGCGGCAGATAGACTGGCTCAGAAGACTCTCCTGACCAGTCCCTGCAGCCTTCTCCCAGAAAACAAGCCCTAACACGAGCAACGGCCATGTTCCAGTGATTTCATGCACCGGTGATTTGCCCTTGTTGGGAAGAGGGTGAGGGGGAATTAGTTTTGTAAGAGCCACTGTGGATTATAAAGGCATTGCATTGCAGCAGGAAAACTCAAGGAGAAAACCCAAGGGGGCCAAGGAAATCACTGAGGGGCGAGGACCCAGAAGAGGAAAAACCACAGCGACAGGACGAGAAGGACAGCTGGGGGCCACATGGGGTCCCATAGGGAAGGTTCAGCAGTGTCCACACTTATAAAACCTGCAGCCGTCCCGCCGGGGCGCATGGGACGGCCCCCCTGCCAGTCGTCTGGGCAAGAGGATCCAATTAGGAGCTGAAAACCCTGCAGGAAGACAGGGAGGGGGAGGGAGTTAGTGCCATGGAAGCAAAGCTGCTTTGTGTCCTTACAGAGCCCCAGAGAAGCCACTAAAGCCCTGGGCACAGGGGCTTCACTGCCACTTCCTCTGCAGGCCTTGCACCTGGGACAGCACCTGACCCCTAGCTGGTGCTCGTCTTGAACGAATGGGCAAGCTAATGAATGAATGAATGAATGAGTGCTTGCTCACCAGCACAAGTGACCCGTTAGAGAGACAATGACAGCCAAAGGAGTTGGAATCTTAAAGGCAGTAAAGTCAGCCGACTGGATCCAAAATATGTTTTCAAGACTGCTGTGTCATCATATGGTGTAAAAATGCAACTGCTTAAGAGATGGGGTGTCGGGGGCACCTGGGTGGCTCAGTGGTTGAACATCTGTCTTTGGCTCAGAGTGTGATCCTGGAGTCCCGAGATCAAGTCCCGCATTGGGCTTTCCATGGGGAGCCTGCTTCTCCCTCTGCCTATGTCTCTGCCTCTCTGTGTGTTTCTCATGAATAAATAAAATCTTAAAAAAAAAAAAAAAGAAATGGAGTGTCTTCCCTATGCTACTGAAAATGAGACAATCCAATTCCTACCTAATTTAACATAAGGGGCACACAGTGGTGGTTTGGGGGCACTCTGGGGCGGGCATGGAGTGAGGGGCATTACAATCATGGTTCAGAGGTCAGGGCAATAAGGTGAGGTTTAATAAGTGAGACTCAATCCAGTCTTGTGGTACATCAGACTGTTTCCAGCAATTTCTAGAAGACCAGTGAGACGGTAAAAGTAATACCAATTGGGATTTGCGTGGATGAGAATGCTTGGGGCAATTTGGGGGTGTGTGGGAGGTGGTGTAAATGCTGGGAGCCCTGGCCAGGAATATACCTTTCTGGAGGCTGGAGCTGTCATTCCAGTAGGGGGTGCCCCAGGCAGATGCAGGCATCCAAAGCCAGGGTTCCCATACTTGGAGGGGCCTCAGAATTCCCTGGAGGGCTCCTTAAAACATAAACCTAGGGCACCTGGTGGCTCAGTTGTTGAGTGTCTGCCTTTGGTTCAGGTCATGATCCTGGGGTCCTGGGATTGAGTCCTCCATCAGGCTCCTGGCAGGGAGCCTGCTTCTCCCTCTGCCTGTGTCTCTGCCTCTCTCTGTGTGTCTCTCATGAATAAATAAATAAAATCTTAAAAAAAAAAAACCAAACATAAACCTTGGTTCTCACTTGAGTTTCAGAGTCAGCAGGTCTGGGGTAGCCTGGGAATTTGCATTTGTAGTTTGCTCCCCACTGTGGGAAAGCCAGGGCAGATGAAACCAGACATCCCCCCCCACAACACCCCCATCAGGATTGGGAAGAGAGGGCTCTACCCACCCCTCCCCTTGGGGATGGAGCCAGCTTACTCATCGGTGTCTTTTTTGCTCTCTTCAATGAAGGCAATGGATTCAGATCTAAGGCGGTTGGTCACTTCATACGTTCGAAGGGTGACCCCGAAAATATCCTCATGGTACCGGTTGTCATCCTGGAGGACAGAAACAGCCCTCAAATGCCAGCCAAAGGCAGGAGAGGGGCAGATATACTGACACCCTGGCGTGGAATGTCCTTAAAGAAGATGAGTTCTAAGCAAACAAGATGTAACCCAGTGGCTCCTGGAGGACCTCTGGCGTCCTAGACTGTGCTTCACAAAACCCTGTGTTCTCTAGGGCATGGGGTCTCACCACCCCAGTGGCAAAGAACATTTCAGTTCACATCTGAGCTGGCAAACCTTGGACAAACTTTTTGTGCAGTGTGAAGCCTGTACAACTGCACAGGACAGTGCTGCAGCTTGGTTCTGGGGGCAGGAAAAGTTGGTAGGATGGTTTCCACCTGCTTGTTATTTTCACACACCACAGGCCCTACCCATATTTAATACGTGCGCCTGCCCACCCAGCACCCAATCATCCTCCTCCCTTAACTATGGTTTGGGAGCACAGGCATCCTCTACTCTGAGCCATAAATAGGAAATTGGGAGCAGGCAGGGATGTCATCATGGTTCCTCTAACCACAGACAGGTGGGGTGAGGAAGAGGCGACAGGAATGGGCTGCTGAGCCTGTCACTCACCCTCAGCCTGCTGATGAACACGCCTGCGTCCTCTACGGAGAGTTTCCCCTGCTGGGTCATGATGCGCTGGATGGCTTTGAGGACATCGGCGGCCATGGTGACGTCCCCGCAGACATAGATGTGGCCCCCTTGCTCCTTCAGGGCTCGGTACACAGGTTCTGCTAGCTGCTCCTGCAGGATGTCCTGCACATACTTCTGCAGGGAGCAGGAAGATGCATGAGAAGGAGGTGGGTCCTGGGGAGACACTCCCCCAGGAGAGCAGAGCCCGACACAGGTGACCCTGGGGGACTGGGAGGACAGTGAGCAAGACAGGGAAAGGTGATCCCAGGGTGTGTGAAGGAGCTGCTCCCCGAGCTGGTGCTCAGCTGTGCTGAGGACCCTCCAGGGGGCCATGCGGAACACATCCCAGAGCCAGAACCTGGAGAAGCAGAGAGTGGGACACGATCGACCTGCTCCCCTGGCCAGTGGGCAGCGGTCACCCACGGGGTGTGAACACCTGTACTCCGCCAGGTGTGGGGTTCGTTACTGCGGGCATCCTATGCTGGGGTGCCAGAGCATCCCCAGGGCAAGCAGCAAGAGATGGGGGAGGGGACGGGCTGTCTGTTGACACCCGCACAAAGCCAGCTGCTACAGCAAGTGAAACGGGAGCTAAGAGAGCATGGGGCGGGCACAGGGAAGTCCAATACAGCCTCCAGGGCGGTTTGCCTTATTGGTTGAGGATGCCTTTCAGTTGTCCAGGAAACTGCCCCAGAGTGAGGTTGACATGCAGCTGGGATGTCCCAGCATGGGTGTCTTGCTTCTTAAAACACTGGTGTACTTGCACACCAGTCATCAAACAGCCGTTGCCCAGACCTGCAGAGTTCCTGCCCCACCCCAGTTGTCCAGGCCCCTTTCCTGGGACCCCTTGGGTCTCCCCCCAACATCCAGTAGGAGCACGCTCCAGTCCCATGGCCTGTGTCCATTCTGACTCGGAGTACCTCTTGTGGACTGCTGAGTGTTTTTTGTTTTTTTTTTAAATTTTTTTTTAATTATTTATTCATGATAGCAATAGAGAGAGGAGAGAGAGGCAGAGACACAGGCAGAGGGAGAAGCGGGCTCCATGCCAGGAGCTCGACGTGGGACTCGATCCCGGGACTCCGGGACCGCGCCGGGGGCCAAAGGCAGGCGCCGAACCGCTGAGCCACCCAGGGATCCCCGTTTTTTTTTTAATTCATATTTTTAAAATGTTTTTCTTTTGGTAAAATACGCATAGCATATCATTTAACATGTAACCATTTTCAGGGGAACACTTTGTGCACCACTATCTTGTGGAACCATCACCCTATCTCTTTCTAGAACTCATTCATTACCCCAAAAGGAACCTCTGTACCCACGAGCAGTCACTTCCTGTTCTCCTGTCCCCAAAGCCCCTGGTAACCACAGATCTGCTTCCTGTCCCTATAGATTTGGCTGTTCTGGATATTTCACCTAAGTGGCATCATATAACATGGGCTGTTAGATATTTTAAATCAATATTTTTATGCTTGAGCAATGTCCCGGAGGAGAATTCAGAATACATGTGGGGGTGTCTGGAGGTCGGAGGTGCATGTGTGTACAAGTGTGTGTGTGTGTGTGTGTATGTGTGTGTGTGTGTTGGGCTGGGGTGCAGGAGCTGTGAATGGGCCAAGGGTTACCTTTGGTTTGTCTGGCTCCCGGGAGTAGGCCGTGTACAGTTCTCTGAAGACCCCCTTGTTCTTGGCCTGTAGAGTCTCCTCCCTGTAGATGTGGTCTATCTTGGACTGCCGGCACCCGAACACCAGGACCATGGGGCACGGACTCATTCCTGGGGACCAGGGAGATCTCATGTCACTGACAGCTCTGATGTCCGATTTGGGGGAAGTGGCTGGTGGTGCCAGGGGAGGGGTGCTGGGAACCTGAGTTTGTGTGCCACATAGAGGCATCTGAACACTGGGACAGGTGGGTGTATGTACTTGTACACACACCCGTGTAGACACACACACACACACACACATGCACGCACCTGCACACACTGAAAGAAGTAGGTGTTCAGGTTTTAGCAGACCCCCTTTCTCTGGATCTCAATCTTTCCTTCTGCTCCCCATTCCCCTGTCCTGGCTAGTTAGCAGCCCCTACCACTGGGTAATGCCTAAAGCCCAGTCTGTGGGGCCATACTACCCGGGTTCAAATTCCAGCTTTGTGTGATGATGAGCAACTTGACTTTCTATGTGTGTATTTCCCTAGGTACAAAATAGAAGTAATAATAGCATCCACCTCCTAGGGTTACTTCAAGAAGTAAAACATTACAGCCCAGCGAATATATACAGTGAATCCTTTATCAGTGTTAGCTCTTCCACCAGAATGATTGGGCCATGGGGGCAGTTTTTTTTTTTTTTAAGTTGTTTCTCTGTCTTGTTCAATACTATCCCTTGGCACCCACAATAGTATTTGGTGTTTACTAGATACTCAATAAATCCCTGCTTAATGGATGCCACAACTGTGGGTTTCTTTCTCTCGCCTCCCAAAACTGATCTGTTGTGTCTCTCACAGCAAAGCCTGCTCTTGAATATAACCTTTGTGACAATCCCTTAAATGTACATACATTTGCTAAGGCTTAATGTTTACTCTTCTAGAGCTGTCTGAATTTTCAGATGGGTCCTATCTTAAGAAAGAAGTGTCTTCTGGGGATGGAATTTCAAGCCCTTAGAACAAGCTGTGTGGGAGATTTGTTTGGATAGGTCCTTTGAAGTATAACCATGAACCTCACCTCTGGGTCGGGTCATATTATGATCTTCCTGACCTCCCCCAGGCAGTGACGCAGTGGAGAGGGAACTCTATCATTCCTCCAGGAGGTTGAGACACAGGCAGTCTCTCCAGGTTCAGGCAGGGTGGAAATCACCTAGCTGCTGAACTGTGACCCACCTTTGTGTTGGATATCAAATTGCCGCTGCTGCCAGAAGCTTCGGAAAGGGGCGATGCCAGTGCCTGGGCCAATGAGGATACAGGGCACTTGGGGATTTCGGGGCAGGTGGAAGCTGGGTGCTCTGGACAGGAAAGAGAGAATCAGAAGGCTTGCTGAGCTCAAATCTGATCAAGGGTGGTTAGGCCTTGGGTAGACCAGATGACTGTCTTGGTGATAAGGTGGGATGGTGTTCTTCAGCTGGGTGCCCCTTATCAGAGTGCCCCTTATCAGAGTGGGAGGTCTCACAGGCTTGGGGACTTCTCAAAACAGGAGCTCCTCAGAGCCCAGCTACCACTCCAATTCCCAATTTTCCTCATTGCTGAGCTAAGCCACACAGGGCAGTGGGATTGATTTAACTCAGGGTTTCCCGATGTCAGCACTACTGACATACTTCTCTGCTGTGGGGGGTGTCCTGTGCATTGTAGGATATTGAGCAGCACCCCTGGTCTCTAACTACTAGATGCCAGGAGCACCCTCCAGCCGTGACAAACAATAATCTCTGCAGGCTTTGCCACAAGTGCTCTGAGGGGGAAAATCACCTCCTGCTGAGAAACCACTGATTCGGCCACCAATGAGATCTCCTAAATCAGGGAACAGACTTCAGTGTACACCGGGTGGTGTTAAGAGTGCAGATTCTTGGGCATGAAGCAAGTCTGGGCTCAGTATACCATATTTTTGAAGCACCACCGGGGATTCTGATGCTCATGATACATGGACCATCCTTTTTTTTATTTTTTTATTTTTTAAAGATTTTATTTATTTATTCATGAGAGACAGAGAGAGAAAGAGGCAGAGACACAGGCAGAGGGAGAAGCAGGCTCCATGCAGGGAGCCTGATGTGGGACTCGATCCCGAGACTCCAGGATCACACCCTGGGCCAAAGGCAGGCACTAAACCACTGAGCCACCCAGGGATCCCCCCATACATGGACCATCCTATGAAGATTACACTCTCAATAGCTGAGAAAAGTCACTGGTCAAGGTCACTGTTTGGTACAGAAGTCAATGGTTGACAAAGCAGGAATCTCCAGAGCCTATGAGCTCAGGTATACCCTTCATTGTGAATGATTTTTGAGTTGTAATTTTTATTTGACGGCAGTAAGAACACTTAAATGAAATCTACCCTCTTAACATTTTTAAGTGCATGATACAGTGCTGGTAATCACAGATAGGAACGTCCTTTAAAACTGAGTTTGGGGGGCCCCTGGGTGGCTTAACCGGTTAGGCGTCTGCCTTTCGCTCAGGTCATGATCTCAGGGTCCTGGGATTGAACCCCGTGTTGGGCTCCCTGCTCAGCGGGGAGCCTGCTTCTCCCTCTTCCTCTGCCGCTCCCCCTGCTCCTGCTTGTGCACGCATGTTCTGTCTTAAATAAATAAATAAATAAATAAATAAATAAATAAATAAATAAATAAATAAAAAATCTTAAAAAAAAATCCAACCAACTGAATTTGGGAGGAACAGCTCTGATGGATGGGGGACGAGGGTTTGGATCTTTCTCATCTCCAAGAAAGTGGAAACAGAGTGGCTGGTAGACAGTGGATAGTATTTCCACCAGTCTGCAGATTTCAGGAAAGCTGATGTGGCATTTTTGCCCATTGTAGATGCTACTGTTGCCCCAGCATCTAGCACAGTGCTTGCACTTGATAAATATTCATTGCACTGACCTGACTTTGACTAACGGGCTTGCTTTGCTTCTGCTGTGTTGCCCATCCCACGATCCCATTTACTTAACAGCTTGGAGGGATACAGAGTGTTGATCTTACTTCTATCTGACTCAGCCATATCTCCAGAACCCTGGAGGCTGGTCCACCCAGTCCAACTCAGGACATCAGTATGCAGATTTGGGACAACTGCTTATTTCTCTTCATTTGCCACTCACCCTCTCACGAAACATGGGACCACTTCGTCAGCCTGTATCCGGTTGAGCCAGGAGGAGCACACGCCGTGGTGAATTGGTCCTTCTCCATCTAGCAGAATAACCGAGGTGGTCTGGTGTGCCTACTCCCTGTCACTGCCCCCCCACCCCCCCCTCCAGGGCAGAAGGCTCACAGCCCCATGCCACAAGTTTCTGCCTTGGAAGTCCTTGTCTGGATCCCTTCCACTGAAGGGGAAGAGGGAATGGTATAGTTGGGGTGAGCTCACAGCTGTGAAACTGCCCAGGGTTCCTGTGGGTACCGGTGGGTAGGATTCAGACCCTGCTCACTGAAAAGGTCCAGGTCAGTGTGCTCTGGGTGGCCTCCCAGGATCCTGGTCTCAGAGCTCTCTCAGGCACTGTGCATTTTAATTGCTTTATCAGGGAGGGAAAATATAGGAGAGAAAGGGTAGGGTATCTGACTATCCTACAACCAGCGGGACTTCAGGCAGCAGAGAGCTCTGCCCTCTGAGGGATGGGTAGGCATGGCTTGTTCCAGTTGCTGCTTTGGCAGGGGTGGAGGGCTGAGGAGGGGATGAAGGTAGTAAAAGGGCTCTCAGGCTTTGGGAGTAGAGGAGGCTTTCAAGGGCATATCCTCCCTCCTTCCTAATTCTGCACAGGGTTGGCTCTGCCAAAGGGGACAGTTTGCCTGTCCTGCTTCTTCTCCTAGTTCCTGTCTTCGGGGTGGGTCACCTCCTGGGAATTTGGGATTGGGCAGTCCTGCAGAGGTCCCTGGGGGCAAATGCAGATGCCCAAGGCTCTCCCAGCACCTCTGCCTACCTCCGGTGCGATAGGAGACAATGGCCACGGTGAGGTGCACCTCATCTGGATACATGTCTGGGGAGGAGCTGATGGAATAGTAGCGGGGCTGCAGCAGCGACAGCTGGGTTAGGAGCAGGGTGGAAGGCATCTGGATGGACGGGAACTCCTCCAGCACCTCCACGATGGTGGGGTTCTTACCCCATTTCCATTCCTCGTACTCCTGTAAACCCTGTCCAAGAAGAGGGACACAGAACTTGCACCCCGCCCCTGGTACATGTCCAGTGAGGGCATCAGAACATCCAGGGATGAAGGTAAGTAGTAACGATGATACCCAGCACTTACACAGTAATGACTCCATGTTAGGTCTTAATTCTTACAATGACCTTATGAAATAAGTATGACTGTTATCCCTATTTTATAGCTGAGGAAACTGACAAATACAGAGGCTCTTTGACTTTGAGGCAGTGATTCTGGGTTTTGAATCTAGATTGGGGGCTGGCAAACTTTTTAGCTCAAAGGGTAAATGTAGCTTACTACCTGTTTTGTAGGGCTCATTAGCTAAGAGTTGTTTTTACACAGTTTAAATTGTTGAGGGAGGGATGGGGATACAAAGGAGGATACTATTTCATGGCAAAGAATGAGATATGAAATGTGAATTTCTGTGCCCACAAGTAAGATTTGATTGGAACCCAGCCACAACCACTCGGGTACTGTCTATGCTGTGGGCTTATAATGGTAGAATTTAATGGTTGTGATACAGATCTCATGGACTACGAGCCTAAAATATTTACTACCAGGCTCTTTATGGAAAACGGTTGCTGACCCCTGCTCCAGGCAGTGTAGCCCTAGGATGTGTGCTCCTAACCATCATAGGCCCTGCCATATGTAAAGGTCAAGAGAGAAGCACTATGGTGGGAGTCATGATTTGGTGGTATAGCATGCAGCCCTGTGATCTGTGAGTTTGCAGGGCTGGAGATGCATCTGCAGAGAGCATAGGTCAAGTTCAGGATGGTGAATGACAGCCCCAAAGGAACAGGTTAGGGTGTGGAGGACCAAGTTCAGGGGCTTGTGGACAGCAAAGCCCAGCTGTTACCAGGGAACGGAGGAACTCTCTGGGGCTCTGGAGTTATTTTTTCTACATCTCAGAAGCTGTTCTGGGCAGTCCCTGATTGCTTATAGGAGACTCAGATTTTGAGGAGAAAAGCATATTAAAAGTGTTCTTCAACAGATGAATGGATAAAGAAGATGTGGTCTCTATATACAATGGAATATTACCCAGCCATCAGAAAGGATGAATATCTACCATTTACATCAACGTGGATGGAACTGGAGGGTACTGAATGAAATAGGTCAATAAGAGAAAGAAAATTATCATATGGTTTTCACTCATATGTGGAATATAAGAAATAGTGAGAGGGACCCTAAGGGAAGAAGGGAAACTGAGTGGGGAAAAATTAGAGAGGAAGACAAACCATGAGAGACTTCCTTCTCTGGGAAACAAAGGGTTGTAGAAGGGGAGGAGGGTGAGGGGATGGGGTGACTGGGTGATGGGCACTAAGGAAGGCATGGGATGTGATAAGCACTGGGTGTTATACTATATGTTGGCAAATTGAATTTAAAGAAAAAAAAAACGTGCACTGTATAACACAGCTTTCCCCCATGTCCCTAAAGATCATCCTTGCTTTGTTGAGGGCATGGTATCCTTGAGAACATGCCTCCCAGGTCTCAGCCTCACTGACCTCTAGCTGTAGGTGTGCAATTAGCCAAAAGCCTCAGGAGCATTCACAGGAAAACAGGCATGGCTCACCCATGTTGGTGCTTCCTATAGCTGTGGCTGCAGTTCCAGATGCTTCCATTCATACTTCCTTCCCTCTCCTTCACTTGGGGTCAGACTTGTTGGAGGTCTGATGGTCCTCCCAGCCTTATCTGTCTCTTGCTCATTTTTCCCTCACATAGGCTGTTTCCCTTAATAGAAATCTTCACTCATTTAATCCCACCTTGGAGTTCACGCACTTCAGAAGAAATGGGCTAACACATACAGTTTATCAAATTCTACTCGAAATCATCTCATGCAAACTGCAGTCTCGGATCCCTCTTCATAGTAGGCCCCCATTAGTTAAAATTTTTTCATTAATTAAATTTTAAAATTACATTTATACATATACATTGTATATGAAGTTAAGCAATTCTGCAAAGCTTACAATGGAAATTAATGCTCCACTTCTCCAATCTGTTTTCCAACTCCCCAGAATGAACCACTTAAAACTCTTTAAATGTTCCTTTTGATGTTTGTTTTCTCATTTCTACGTACAGCTGACCCTTGAACAACATGGATTTGAACTGCGCAGGTCCACTTATTTGCAGATTGTCTTTCAACAAATATAATAGAGGACTCTAAATGAAAATTCTCTTCCTTATGAGTTTCTTAACGTTTTCTTTTCTCTAACTTACTTTATTGTAAGAATAAAACATACAAAATATGTGTTAATCGATTGTTTATATTATCTGTAAGGCTCCCGGTCAACAGTAGGCTAAATCAGTGGTTTAGTTCTGGGGGAGGTAAAAGTTATATGGATTTACTGCTGCACAGGGGGGGTCAGCACCCCTAACACCTGTGTTGTTCAGGGGCCAGCTGTACTAGGCATTCTTTGAATTAGCCTCTTCCTCTCTGCCCATCATTCGTCCCTCTCCTGGACAGCAGAAGAAAAGCTAAGCCATCCTTTGCCGGTGGCTTAATGGAGAGGAGCCCCCACTTGGAAAACTCTGGGTGGTCCTCCTGGGTAGGATTCTTACTGAGCAAGATTTTGTAGTGCCTTGGGGCAAGCAAGTCCTGGGTTTCAAAGCATAGATGGTAGAAATGTGTGATTTATTTTACCATCCGAGGGCCTCCTATATCTTGCAAGTCTCACCAACAGCTCTTCTGCATTGGGAAAGACCTCCCTCTAAAACAGGGCACTGTGGGATTCTTTATTTCTTTGCCCTCCAAGCATGGGTTCAGTTGGAGCTAACGGAAGCTCAAGAGTTCCAAAAGAAGGAGGAACAAGAGTTAGAACAGTAATTTCTACTGGGCCAGAGAACTCTGAGATTCAACAGGGCTATCCTTGTTGTGCCAAACCTTAGTTAGAATGAGGGGAGATGGTGAGGACGAACCAAAATGGACTAGCCAGTAGGGTGGCGACCAGCTGTAAACTAAAAATGGGCCACTCTTGCTCAACGCTGCCATCTGCTGGACAACTGTTGTAATAGCTGTACAGCTCTCCACTGACGGGGAGGTGAAAGGTGCCCCTGGGGCTGTAGGAGGCCAGACACCCACCTTGCTGAGGACCAGGAGACGCTGCTTCTCTTTCTCGCTGGTGGCCAGGGAGGCAAACTGTTGCAGCTGCAGTGGCGTTGGCGGCGTGGTGATGTCCAGGTAGTACTTGAAGGCCTGGAAGATGGTGCAGGGTGGGAGGCGGTGCTCATCCGTCCAGTTACTGATAACTCCTGTGGAGGTACAATGGAGGTGAGGGGTGGATCGGGGAAGGAGAGTATGAGCTCCCAGGGCTTGGGTCCAAGTCAGGAAGGCCAGATTGGGTGGCCTAGGGCAGAGGATGGGGTCAGGTGAGCCAAGCAATCCCTTGGCTTGTCACCTTCCATGTTTCACCTCCAGACCCAGAGTTCTGGGGACTGTGTGATCACCTCATGAGTGCAAGGAGCATATCCAAAATCAACTGAACAAATTAAAAATTTGAATTTTCAAAAATTAAAATATAAGGCAATATTAAAATAGCATGAGACAGTCAGTCCTCTGGCATTCAGTGCAGTGAGCCCCCCCACCGAGCATAAGCTATGAGTCTATTTTGGCTGTCTGCTCTCTAATGGTGTTGGCCTCTCCAACCTCTAAGTGGGATTCCGGCATTTAAAATTACAAACATGCCTAACACTTCGCTAGCACTTTCTATATGCCAAGTGCTATTCTCAGCACTTTATATTATTAACTCACTTAGTCCTCACAAACAATCTCAGGTGGTGGTGCTATTACTATCCCCATTTTGCAACTGAGAGAAATGGAAGCACAGAGAGGTCAAGGAAATTGCCCAAGGTCACACAGCTCACAGTGTGAAGTCAGGCATTCCTGCCCCAGACCTCGTTCTAACTACTACACTGTACTGCTTCGGTGTAATTTTCATCGGATATACAGTGTCTACTTTATCAGGGGCTCAACTCAAGAGAAAGAGTGCTGCTCCAACATGAAGGAAGAACTGGCTGGGTCAGATTTATTAATTCAAAGTGGTATGTCCCAAAGGACTTTTCAATAGGGCTTGGACCACGTGCTATTTTCACATTCTGCTCTGACCGTACTCTAGCTCCTTTGTAAAGGGGACATGTTACCATATCATGGGCCGGTCAGGTAAGGTCACTGTGGTTTCTTGTACCTGAGCCCTGAGCTCACCTGTGCCGACTGAAACGAAGCGCTGAGACCCACTTGCGTTTGAAAGTTTTTGAACAGAAAGGTCAAGGATGGTCACTGAAACAGACTGGGGCCTGGTCTAATGAGGTCAGAAACAGGGTTCAACCTTGAGTGGGCCATGGAGCTGCATATAGCTCCCCCAAGGATGAGCTATTGGTGTCCTGGCATCATGGTCACTGGCTCAGCCAGTTGGGCCAAGGTTGTCAAGCCATGAGAAAGGAGGAGTCTTCAGTCTCCTAAGTTGGAGGTGACAGAGACCCACTCTCTCGCCTGGACTGGATATTGGGAAGAAGGATGGGTCTCCTCTTCCTCAGACACCCACTGCCTCCAGAACTCCCTGGAGAACGGGAGGGCTCTTAGGAGGGGCCAGGTGGGGTGCCTGGTCTGCCTGCCCGCCCACCCGTAGTTAGTTAGTTACCCAGAGCCGTGTTGCGCTCCTCCAGTAGCTCCACCTTCACCAGCTGGTTGACGGGGGGTGCATCCTCCAGCCGCTCGATCAGAGCATTCACAAGGTCCTCGCGGTTGCCAGGGAAGACACCCAGGTGGTCCCCAGGTTGGTACTGCAGCTCCTGATTCCCATTGGTGTGCAGACGCACGAAGATGGTTGATCGGCTGGAGGGAAAGGGGGATAGTCGGCTAAGAGTCACCAGCTACTGCCTCCTCTCTTTGCTCCTTTGTGTCTCCGTGTGGCTGCATTTCTCTCTTTTCATTCTTTGTGGGACCCTGGCCAATGAGACCTCTGCCCCCATCGTTCCACACCATGGCCTTTAGCATGATCACCCATGAACTCTTCAGTGCAAATCCAATGGCAAGTTCCAAGTGCTCATCCTGGTCAAGGAAGCAGCACTGGACACAGCTGCTCACTTCCTCTTTCTCCACTCTCTTCTTCCAGGTTCTAGCACCCCAGGCTCTCCTGATCTTCTTTCTCTTGGTGGTCCCTTCCCATCTCCCCAGACTCTGGGCATTAGAGTAATCAGGGTTCAGTCCTCAGATTCCTTTTTTCTTTCTTTCTTTCTTTCTTTCTTTCTTTCTTTCTTTCTTTCTTTCTTTCTTTCTTTCAAGATTTTATTTATTTATTCATGAGAGACCCACAGAGAGAGAGGCAGAGACATAGGCAGAGATGTAGGCAATGGGAGAAGCAGGCTCCCTGCTGGGAGCCCTATGTGGGACTCAATCAATCCCAGGACCCCGGGATCATGACCTGGGCCACAGGCAGACACTCAATCACTGAGCCACCCAGACATCCCAGATTCCTTGCTTTTCTATTTTCCTGAACCTGCCTTTTTCCATAGCACTTACGGGCGTCTGCCCTCTTGAACAGTTTACATCATCATGTGGTTTATGGTTTATGGAAAATGCCTTTCCCCGCCTACCAGCCCCATCCAAGCTTCCAGGACAATGTATACTCCAGAGGGCAAGGGATCTGTCTCTTTTGTCCACTTCTCTATTCCTGGCAAGTAGGACAGTGCATGGTACACAGCAGGTACTCAAGAAATATTTATTGGATGAAGGAACCTCAGACTCCTAGGGTTAACTGCTTGCCAGAACAACCTCTGTTCTCAGTACCAACTGGGGTTCTCCCAGGAATCACTATCCAATTGGAGCCAAGGTAGTGGAGTCCCCAGTCTGTGTGATGCCATCTCTCCTGGGAATCCCAAGCTCCACCCCACTCTAGTGTGTGTGTGTGTGTGTGTGTGTGTGTGTGTGTGTGTGTAGGGTGGGGGAAGGGTCCTCATATTACTGTGTAAAGAGAAACACATTTGGTATTGGTTGTGCACAAATACCAATATAAATTTGAAAGATCTAAGGAGAAAACACACAGGAACTTATTTATGTCCTGCCAAGTCCTCCTCTTTCCCACTGGTTATTGTATTTTCAGGGCAAGAAGCCTTTGCTAAGTGAAGGCTTCAAGAATGAATTCTTGGACTCTGATCATTCTAGTCCTTTAAATGGAATGGATCTACTGCATTTTCCACAATACCTGAGAACTTGGGGACTGATTATATTTTGGTAAATCAGATTCTTTGTCCTCTTTGGGTTCCATCTTCATTTCTTTTTTTTTTAAAGATTTATTTATTCATAAGAGATATAGACAGAGAGGCAGAGACACAGGCAGAGGGAGAAGCAGGCTCCATGCAAGGAGCCCCATGTGGGACATGATCCTAGGACCCAGGGATCATGCCCTAAGCTGAGGGCAGATGCTCAACCGCTGAGGCACCCAGGTGTACCGTGCATTTCTTTTCTTTTTTAAAGATTTTATTTATTTTAGAGAGAGAGAGAGAGAGAGAGAGAGAGAACATGCGCACATGCTCATACAAGCAGGAAGAGGGGCAGAGAGAGGGAGAAGCAGACTCCTTGCTGACCAGGGAGCCTGATGTGGGGTTTGATCCCAGGACCCTGATATCATGACCTGAGCCAAAGGCAGATGCTTAGCTGACTGAGCCACCCAAGTGCCCCCCCATCTGCATTTCAGATCTGCTTTTCTTCATTGCCAATTGGTTCTCAGTAGAGACACTTCATATTCAACACAAAGTTTCTACATTCTCCATGGTATGTAAATCAACACTTGAATAGATCAATGGGACTCGCTATATAAAGGAGTCTCTGGCACACCCAAGAACCCTTTTGTGCTACAAATAGCCACCGTTATTAAAAATAGTTGTGCTGGCACATTTAATTTTTTGCAAGTATTTTCTTGAAGCAAGGCACCCCTGTCCTTAGCACAGTGGCGGGAAATTGGTGGCAGAGATTGTGAAGGGTGTTGTCAGGATCTGGGGCCCCATTCTCCTTTCCTGGACAGATTTTGCTGCCTCTTGGGCCACTAATCTTGTCAGTTATACGGATTTGCATGACTGATTCTGCTCTGAGCTCATTGGTTTCCTGGAGAGCAAAGACAACCATCGCCTCCTGCCAGCTCCAGGATGGGAATTAGCCAGCAGGCGGAGCTGTGGGGCCGCTAATTTCGGAGCCTCCTGCACCAACCACAGGAAGCCTTTCAAAGGCCCCCAAATCAATTCCCACTTTCTCCCAGATCATCACGATTTCTTTCAGAAGTATATTTGCCTACGTTCTTCTGGCCGGTACAAAATAGAAACGCGGAGGACCTGAACTTGCTGAGTTGGCTCACGCTCACAGGCACTTCCCCCAAGTCCTCTTGAATGTGACACAAGGTGGTCAGGAAGACAAGGGGCAGGAATACGAGGCAGCTGGCAGGTTAGCTAGGTGGCCCAGGCTCTGCTAGTGCTGGGAATTAAACCAGGGGGACTCTGCAAGCCTCTGATCAGACATGGCTTGCTGAGAACCCCAGCGCTGAATGGCTTTGTGGCCTCAGGACACCCTAATGGGCTGGTCTTTGAAGCTTTGTGGGGGAAACCAAATTCCCCTCTACCTTCTCTTGGTAGCACTAACCTAGAGACAAGGGCAGTCATCTGGGGGCCTCTCCATCCCCTCCTCCAGACTCCAGAAGCATAACACACACACACAGACACATACACACACACAGGCATGTATGCTTGGCAGTGGTTCAATGACAGGTTCACAGATGAAACAACAGTCTGCTAATGTCTGGCATCAAATAATAAAAAAAAGGCTAATGTTCATTCTTTAATGAAAAGAATAAACATTGTAAGTTTCATTCATTCAGCAAATTTGTACTGAGTGTTGGGCACTATTCTAGGCACTGGTGAGACACTGATGGGTCTGGGGTCTCATTCTCACAGAATGTCCTATTCTCATTGAGAAGCAACTTAAAAGGTCCCAGAGGAGTTGGTGATGTGGATGGGTGGGTGGTGATGGGCTAGGGCCAGTGGGCTGAGCGACCATCAGATAGGATGGTCCAGGAGACCTCTGTGGTGATGTGATACTTGAGCAGAGAGAGAAAGGGGACATGCAAAGATCTGTTTGGGAAGAGTGTTTGCATGTGCAAAAGCCCTGGGGTAGGAAAATGTGTGGCATGTTTTGGAGAAGGGAAAGAAGGCTGGAGTGTTTGGAGAGTGGTCAACATAGATGTGGGGGTAGGAGAAGGAGCTCAGAGAGCTGGGAAGAGGCCAGATCATGAGGGCTTCATCATGACCTGTAACAGCAAGAAATTTGGAGGTCTCCTTAATCCAGTGGGAAGCCACTGAAGGGTGTGATGCTATGCAGTGATAGGATTCAATTTCTGTTTTTCAAAGATTAGTCTGGCTGCTGTTTGGAAATGGATCTTTGAGAGAGAAGCCAAGAAACAAGGAGACAAGTTAGCATCTACTGTAGTCACTCATACCGTTGATGCACATGGCTTTGCTCAAGATGGTAGCTATAGGTCTGTGATGAAGTTGAAAGTCAAGTCCCATAGGACCAGCTGAGGGTTGGATGTGCAGTGTAAGGGAGGGAGAGGAGGCAAAGAGGACTCTTGAGTTTTTGGCTTAAGCCAAATGTTGCTGTTCTCTGTCGAAATGGGGAAGGCTGGAGAAAAGGAACTTCACCCAAGGAGCAATGAGAATCAAGAGCCCCCCCCCCCAAGAACCTTCCATTGTGATATCCCACCACCTCCACAATGCCCCAGCACTTGGGTCCCCCTCTGCATCTTTGCTCCTGCCAGCCTCTGTCTACATGTTCCTCCCCTGTTCTCATTCCCTTTCCAAAGCTTGCCCTGTGCTTCCCCTCCCCCTTCTGACATCTAGGACTTATGATCACCACACCCACTACCCATTACCAATCCATTATACTCTGGTCTGTATTGTTTGTGAATTGGTGTACCTAGAAAATGTACTTCCTGGCCAGGCAGCAACTGTGGTCACTTTTCTCTTTAGATGTACAAGGATCACCCTCAGAAGGCTGTTTACTTCCTCTTAAGCACTTTGCTTGCAATTAAGGGCCTGGGAGGTGGGGAGTATTTTGTGATATCTCACTTATGGCCTCTTGGCCCAAACAGTCTGACTTTTGGCTGACTTGGGCAGGGGAAAATGAGAGAGAGTATCATGTTGTTGTTGTTGTTTTTTTTTTTTACTTGATTATCCCTTAAAACAAACCAACAACTTATAAAGCTGGAGACAGTAGTAAGCCTGAAAATAGGTTGTGCTAAACAGAGTGTGCTTCTAAAGAGAGAGAAAGAGATCTACATACAATTTGATCCTTTTTGTGCTAATTCATGACTGATTTTAATACTAGGTTCTAGTTCCTAACCTTGCTGAAATATTCTCTTGTAAATCACTCAATATAGAGTCAGCTGCCATTTCCAGAGGTGAGTGGGGGTTATTCTGGGATTTGGTCCAACTTAGCATCAGAACATTTGCAGAGGACCTTGCTTTTTATGTACTATGGTTTAGGGAGTAATTTCTGTGATTTGGTCTTTCACAGTTTGTCGCTAAAGGAAATTTCCAATGGATTCTTAATCTCTTTTCTTCCATGCTACTGAAGTCATCCCTTTCTATAGGGCAGAAATGGGAAGTAGGGGTGCATATTTCAGACACAGAGTCCCTCTCTTTATCAGAGATCCCTATGCTCCAAATGTTGCATTTAACTAATTATTCAAAGGGATTAATTTCCTAATCCATTTCTTTAATGTTTGGGGATCTAAGAGAGTACATGAGAGCCTGGGGGCTTTGTCCTGTTGATAATTCTATCAAAGGTTTGAAGTCCATGTAGAAAGCATGCACACTAAATTTGCAGGTGTTTGAAGCTGGGACGGATAAGGAAGAGTAACGAGAAAGTTTTGTGCACCTCATCTTTAATACAGCAGCCTTGCAATGCTTTTGACGCCACCTGTGTAGCCATTCGGCATACTGACTTTGGAGTCGGAGAACCGAGTCTATGTGACCTTGAAAAAGTCACTTGCATTCTCTAATTGTCGTTTTTCATGTTTAAAACATCAATCATGGGGCACCTGGATAGCTTAGTCAGTTAAGCATCCAACTCTTGATTTTGGCTCAGGTCATGATTTCAGGGGCTGTGGGATCAAGCCCCACACTGGGCTCCACACTCAGTAGGGAGTCTGCTGGAGATTATTTCCCTCTCCCTCTATGCCCCTCCCCCCTAAAATACATAAATAAATCTTTAAAAAAATAAATAAAATGTTGATGATAGTGGTATCTACTTCCTGGGCTGGTCAAGAGTTCTGGGAGATCCTGCACAGAGGGGATTTGAAACAGTACTTGGCATACAGAAAGCACTAGATAAACATCAGCAATCCGTGTAGCCACTATTCTCATCTTACATAAGGAGACAAGGGCTCAGAGGACCTGAGTGACTTGCCCATGGTCACACAGCTGGTGTGCAGCAGAGCTGGGGTCAGAACCCAGAGTTGTCCAGTTCATGAGCCCACTCTGTGTACTAAAGAATGGAAATTTCAAAAGATCGTCGTGGGCTGTAGCTGAAAAGTGAAAAAAAAAAAAAGAGATGCCATTCCATAGGGACCAATGCAAAGGACTTCATTAAAGCCAAAAATACTATTTACACAAGTTGAGGGATAGACAGACCTGGCTCAATCATCTTGAAAATAGCAGCAAGCGTGTAAGCTTAATGGGAGTGTGGCATGGCTGCCAGGACAATGCCTGCCATGTTGGTGGCATCAGTGAGTCTTGCTTAGGTTGGAGGGTGGCTAAAATAGCCTCAGTGCATGTGGCAGCTATGACCAGTCCTCCACGGTGCTGTGACCAGGTCTGAGAATGACAATTCCAGCAGGACAGAGTGTGTCCTTGTACTAAAGTGAAGAGCTTGGGAAACCGGGTCTTAGGAAGAGCAATTTGAAGGGATCAAAACCCAGGAGACATTGGTCAGTATCCTTGGCTATCAACAGGTCTCTCATTTGGAAGAACTGAGTTTGTTTTGAGCGTCACCAGAGATCAATATGAGGTGCTAGGAAGATGCCCTTTGGTTGTAGCAATATAAGATAATTTCTAACAATTAGGACTTTGAAACACAGAGTGGGTTGTTCTGTGAGGTAATGAACCTCCCATCATCCCAAAGGAATTTAAGCAGAGCCTGGGTGGCTAGTTTTCAAGATTCTATAGAATCACCCACAGGGAGGAAATGTTCTCTGACTAGCATGCTCTGGTATGATGAACATTAGCAATTTGACAAGGGGGTGGTCTATATTCAAAATTCCTCATAAACCCCTTCCCTTTCTGCTTTCCATGATGATTATCAGCATCTCTTCTCTTGGTCCCTCTAGGTCAGAGAGCAGCAAAGAGGAAGCAGGAAAACCTCCATGCTACAAAGCAGCAAGGCGAGCTCAATGGCATTTGGAATGGTAATGGGATGCCAGTCCTGCGAGTCAACCAGGGCTCCTCCCTGATTGTGGGTGGCATCTGGAGAACAGAGGAGTAACCCCGAACCAACCAAGGTGCTCCTACCTGGATTTAGGGCTCTGAAGGTTTTGACGGCTGAGGAGTCGAGCGGCTGAGACCCGCTTTTTGTGGACGTTGGATAGACCTGCGGGGAGAAACACAACAGGCTCCCTGAGATGGGGTTAAACCGTGGTCAGTGCAAACCTTCCAGCTTCTACTGACCCTGTCTTCACACTTCCACTGTCCTCTGGAGTGAAGTGAGGAGAGGAAAGAAAAGACATTGGGGTGGGGGGTGCTGTGGATAATGCAGAAGCAGCAGCAAAGCTGGTAAAGCTGAGTTGAGAAGAAGAGTTTCAGGGTAACATGCCACCCTGCTGGAGGGAGAAACATCCGGGCACAGGTTGACGGGGCATAGGGCCCTGGAAGCATATTTATTTTCAGAGGACTGTGGTCAAGGGAGACATAAGCAATGAAACCCACCTTCTCTCAGTACCTGTCAGGGAGGTGAGGGCTCCTGTCTTTCCTTCCCCTCCCAGCTCCACCCCCTTCACTATCCTGCATGCCTCCCCAGGAAGGTGGTGAGAGGTACCCTGTGTAAGTTCTGGAGCTTCGGCCACATAGGTGAGGCGGAACTTGTTTCTCTTCCAGCTGCGGTCATTGCTGATGAGGGAGTTGTTGGCCTTTTCAATGTTGACATCATCTCCCACGCAGAACACATCACAGGCTGCCTGTGGCACACGCAGGGCTTTCAGTGGGTGACCTCTTTCAGTCAAGAGGGACTTTCCACCAACAGCTTCAAGTCATGGCATGTATTCCTCCATCCATCCATTCATCCACCCATCTGTCCGTTCATCCCTCCAACCCTCCATCTACCTGCCCTCCTACCCTTCTTCCTTCCCTCCAACTCTCCTTCCTTTCTTCCTCTTTCTTTTCTTCCCTTCTTCCTTCATCCCTCCTTCCATCTGTTCATCCATCCTTTCTTCTCTCCATCTATCCATCCTTCCTTCTTTCCTTCCTTCCATACTTATATCCACTCGCCTACTCATCCACCCATCTATACATCCCATTACCTACCTGCCAGCCACTCATCCATCAGTCTATCTACTAATCCATCCTATGCTTTTTGAATGCCTTTGATGTGCTGGACATATCATATTTACTAAGTAACGACTTTAGGATTTAACCTCTATTTAATATGTAACTTTTATGTCATTTATTCCTAAAACTAGTATTTGTAGAGGCCTAACATTAAACAAGAAAATAAATACCTTAGGGGCACCTGGGTGGCTCAGTTGGTTAAGCGTCTGTCTTCAGGTCAGGTTGTAATTTCAGGATCCTGGGATCAAGCCCCACCTTGGGCTCCCTGCTCACTGGGGAGGTGGCTTCTTTCTCTCCCCCTACCCTTCCCCCCTGCTCATGCTCTCTTTCTCTCTCCCTCTCCCTCAAAGAAATAAATAAAAAGTTTTAAAAATTAAAATCTTGGGCAGCCCAGGTGGCTCAGCGGTTTAGTGCCGTCTTCAGCCCAGGGCGTGATCCTGGAGACCCCAGATCGAGTTCCGCGTTGGGCTCCCTGCATGGAGCCTGCTTTGCCCTCTGCCTGTGTTTCTGCCTCTCTCTCTCTCTCTCTCTCTCTGTCTCTCATTAATAAATAAAATCTTTTTAAAAAATTAAAATCTTAAAAAAGAGAAAAGAAACACCTTAGAACTTATCTTCCTCTAAAGATTCAATTACTTAAAAATTTTTTTTATTTAAAAAAATAAATTTTTTTAAATAAATTCAATTTGCCAACATATAGTATAATACCCAGTGCTCATCTCATTGTGTGCCCTCCTTAGTCACCTAGTTACCCTATCCTCCTACCCACCTCCCCTTCTATAACCCAATTACCTTAAAAGCAGAACATACTGAATGTTTGAACACCTATGAAATTTTCTTATGTTTTTCTTTTGCAAGTGCCTAAGTTCTCTGACTTTAATAGTCCTAAGAATTATTATTTGGAATTCAAGTTTTGGGATAAAAGCCATGGATAATTCAAGAGTTTTAAAAATTATTTATTTATTTGAGAGAGAGAGAGCAAAAGAGAGAGTGAGCACACGAACAAGGGGGGAGGGGCAGAGGGAGAAGGAGCGAGAGAATCTCAAGCAGACTCTGTGCTGAGCATGGCGCCTGATGTGGGGCTCGATCCCACAACCCTAAGATCATGACCTGAACCAAAACCAAGGGTGGGATGCTTAACTGACTGACCCACCTAGCAATGACCTAGGTGCCCCAATTCAAGAGGTTTTTAAGGGGAGCTTTAACCATTTCTTTGGCCTTATGTTGATTTTCAGACCACTGTGGTGACCATCAATCTATCAACTGATGGATGGTTAAACAAAATATGATATATACATACAATGGAATATTATTTGGCCATAAAAAGCAATGAAGTGCTGATATATACTATAACGTGGATGACCTTGAAAACAAGATGCTAAGTGAAATGAGCCAGTTTCAAAAGACCACATACTATGATTTCATTCATACAAAATATCCAGAATAGACGCATTTACAGAGACAGAAAGTAGATTAGTGGTTGCCAAGACTGGGAGTTTGGTGGGAGAATGGGGGCTGGTGATAGCTGAAGGGCATGGTGGCTTGTAACAGGCCCTGTTTCTAGGGTACTCAATTAAATTGGCTGATGGAAGTCAAGAACCACAGTGATCTCAAGATAACAAAAGCCAAGTTATCTCAATTTTACCTTGTCTAGGAAGAAATGCAGAAACAGGTTTGTGGACACAGCCTTCCTCCACAGATATCTGTATAGCTCAAGGGCCTCAGTTTCCCCTTTTTTTCCTTATCTGCATTTGCATGAGGGATGGAAAGTGCCAACTGAGTGATAGGAGGTTGTAAAATGCCCTTTCTCCTATGGCTGCTAAAGAGAATGCATTCTGGCATGGAGGAAGAAGCAGGGAAAGGTAAGGGGTCAGGACTCATGGCTTTTCATTTCTCCTAGGATGGCTAATCGAATCATATCCCACATACAGATAGAAAGTCATTATTAGCATGTTCTATGATAGGAATATTCTGTGCTGTTTTCTGTGGTGACCACTAGCTACTTGTGGTACATGAAATTCACAGCCAAGGAATGGGATTTTTAATAGGATCTAATTAATATGGGTATTAAATAGAATTAAAAATATAATTATTAAATTTTTTTATATTACTTGTGGTATATTAAATACATATTTAGTAATTTTATGTAATATAAATTATTGATATTGGGCAGCCCGGGTGGCTCAGCAGTTTAGCGCCGCCTTCAGCCCAGGGTGTGATCCTGGAGACCCAGGATGGAGTCCCATGACAGGCTCCCTGCATGGAGCCTGCTTCTCCGAACTCTGCCTGTGTCTCTGCCTCTCTCTCTCCTCTCTGTGTATTCTCATGAATAAACAAATAAAATCTTTAAAAATATATATAAATTATTGATATTAACTACTAATCATAATAATTATTAATCTTAATAATTAGTATTACTTATTTCTATGTATGTATGCACAGAAAATTTTCTTTTATTTTTTATTTTTATTTTATTTTAATTTTTATTTTTTTATGATAGTCACAGAGAGAGAGAGAGAGAGAGAGAGAGAGAGGCAGAGACACAGGCAGAGGGAGAAGCAGGCTCCATGCACCGGGAGCCTGACGTGGGATTCGATCCCGGGTCTCCAGGATTGCGCCCTGGGCCAAAGGCAGGCGCCAAACCGCTGCGCCACCCAGGGATCCCTTCTTTTATTTTTTTAAAAGATTTTTATTAATTTGAGAGAGAGAGAGAGAGAGAGAGAGAGAGAGAGCATGGGTGGGGTGAGGGGGCAGAGGGAGAAGCTGAGCAGGGAGCCCAAAGTGGGGCTCAATCTTGGGACTCTGGGATCATGACCTGAGGGGAAGGCAGAGGCTTAAACTACTGAAATACCCAGGTGCCCTAGAAATTTTCCATGTAATATATAATTCATCATTTGAAAATGTACAGTTCCATGGTTTTTAGTGTATTTACAAAGTTGTGCAACCACCACTGCTATCCAGTTCTGGAACATTCTCATTCCCCCAGAAGTAACCCTCTATCCATTAGCAATCATTCCCATTTTCCACTTCTCCAGACCCCTGGCAATCACAAATCTAATCTCTGTATGGATTTGCCTATTCTGGACATTTCCTATAGATGGAAACATAGACCTTTTGTGCTGGGCTTCTTTCATTCTTCATGTTTGTGAGGCTGATTCATGGTGTAGCTGGTGTCATTGGTTCATCCTTTTCATGGCTGAGTAATATTCCATTGTCTAGACATAACATATTCACTTATCCATTCATCCTATTAAATGTGCATTCATTTACATTTACATTTAAATAGCACATGGGACTAGTGGCCCCTGTATTGGTTAACAGAGATCTAGTACAGGAGGGAGAAGCTTGTCAAAGTAGACAAATCAGAGATCTGAGTTCTAGGGTGAGGCACGGCCCTTTGGTTTGGCTAACCAACTTGATGTGAGTGAGGGATCAACTAATTCCTCCCAGCTCTGAAGTCCCAAGACTATAATTTTTTTTTATTTATGATAGGCACACAGTGAGAGAGAGAGAGGCAGAGACACAGGCAGAGGGAGAAGCAGGCTCCATGCACCGGGAGCCCGATGTGGGATTCGATCCCGAGTCTCCAGGATCGCGCCCTGGGCCAAAGGCAGGCGCCAAACCACTGCGCCACCCAGGGATTCCTATAATTTTTTTTTAATAGAACAAGTCCCTATGCATAATGCAGGAGGTTAGATTCTGGATGGAGAATGTTTGTTTTAAGACCACCCAAACTCATCTGAGTTGTTTAACTCAGATGGCTGGACACACGGGGGAAATACCAGGGGTTCTCTCAAGTTTCTTCTATTTCTAATGGAAAGGGTACTCTGTCTTTGGAGCATGACTTCTTCCCCTGGGTCTCTGAGATCTGGGCAGGTGGTTACCTTGAAGACCTTCTTGGCCCAAGTCCTGAAAGCCTCTTCCTGTCCACAGAGCTCATCCCCTTCCCTCATCTTCAGGATTCTCTCTCCTCCCAGCTCCTCCAGGAGGGTGTCCACAGCATGTCCAAAGGCGCAAAAGTGAGGGTAAGCCCGGGAGCCAAGGCCAAACACAGAGAACCTGTCAAGGAGACAACAAAAGGTCTGTGCTAAAGGACTGTGGAGCATGAGGGGGAGTCTGGTATTATGGACTCTATGCCCTTCCCCTCCCATGCTGCCAAATTCATATGTTGAAATCCTCACTCCCAATGCAACCATATTTGGAGATGGGGCCTTTAAGGTGGTAAATGATTCCTAAGGTTGGGCCCTAGTCTAATAGGACTGGTGTCTTTTTTAAAAATTTATTTATTTATTTATTTATTTATTTATTTATTTATTTATTTATTTATGAGAGAGAGAGAGAGAGAGAGTGCGAGCATGAGCAGGGGGAGTAGCAGAGGGAGAGGGAGAAGCAGACTCCCTGCTGAGTGGGGAGCCTGACATGAGACTTGATCCCAGGACCCTGGGATCATGACCTGGGCTAAAAGCAGATGCTTAACTGCCTGAGCCAGCTAGGCGCCCCAGGACTGGTCTCCTTAGAAGAAGAGGAAGAGACACCAATAGCACTCTCTCACTCTGACCCTGCAGAGAGGAGAGGCCATGTGAGGGCAGAGCAAGAAGGTGGCCATCTATAAGCCAGGAAGGGGGGCTTCACCAGAAACCAATCCTACTGGCACTTTCATCTTGGACTTATAGCCTCTAGAACTGCAAGGAAATAAATACCTGTTGTTGAAGTCACCCACTCTGGTATTTTGTTATGACGGCCAGATCAGACCAAGACATCTGGTAGCTCTATGAGGACGGTGTTTAGCCCATGGTGGTCAGACAGCCCCAAGCCCACCCAGGGAAGGCTGTTTTAAAATCCGGGAGCTCTGGGATGCCTGGGTGGCTCAACGGTTGAGCGTCTGCCTTCGGCTCAGGGCATGATTCCAGGATCCGGGATCGAGTCCTGCATCGGACTTCCTGCATGGAGTCTGCTTCTCCCTCTGCCTGTGTCTCTGCCTCTCTCTCTCTCTCTCTCCTCTGTCTCATGAATAAATAAAATCTTTAAAAAAATAAAAAAAATAAAAAAAAAAATAAAAAAATAAAAAAATAAAATCTGGGTGCCCTTGGGGCCTGTTCTCCTTTCCTTCTGGTCTCTGTTAGGTGTGACCATCCTTGTGCGAGAATTCCCAATGGTCCCAAGGAGGATGAGTTAGATAGGGATAGCAATGACCCAGAACCGTTGGCTGTTTTTCATGTGTCCCTTTTTAAGCTGGAGAAATTAGTCTACTTTTTGGGGAAGGCTTGAATTCTATAAGGGACACAACCAGATGAGTTTTAAGGACAAAGATAACAAAAAATCACAATACAGAGGTCTTCAGGGACCTGTATTAATGAGGGGATCAGAAGGACTCGTCATTAACACATCAAATGTTCACTGCATGTTAACTAACTGGGATTAAAGCAAAAACCTTAAAAAAACCCCACATCAGATATTGGTGTGCAAACAGGTTATTCTAAAAGGGGATGAAAGATTTATAAATATGCTGACTCCACCCCTTGTGATGTCTATGAAATTAATTTGCTTCACAAACACTCTTTGCCTAGATGCCACCAAGAAAATGTGGCTGTTTGAATCAGCAGGGGGTCAAGTTAATGAGAGTTTCCTTTCTGTTAAGGTGGGCTGCCTTGACTGGAGTACGAGAAGAGAAGGGCTGTGTCTCAGACGGCCACTCTTGCTAATTGACTGTCCTACAGACCCTTTATGTCACACTTCCAGGGCTTGGTCCTAGCTGCATGTCTCGACCTCATGGGGACCAGAGCGACAGGTTGACAAGTGGGACAAGAACACCGCACCCCACTTCTTTCCTGGGTTGGAGTTTTCTGCTGTAGACTGTCATCTCAGACAAGCCCAGGAGCGGAGCTGTGTCAGCTATTCCAGGCTGGCTCTGGCTCGGCCTCTGAATCTCTTTGTTTAGGATGAAGGGGTCAAGTTGGCCAAAGATTGAGATGGGGGAATGTAGGGAAGGAGGAGGGGAAGCTAGGAAGGGATTCCCATTCTCTCTGGCGTTGGAGAATGCGCTGGAGATGGGTCCAGGTGTCTCCCAGATCCAGTGAGAATTAGCATAGGTTAATATCCAGTCCTCTGAAAATTACATGCATGCTCCCTCACTGAGCCTCTTCTCTTTTCCTGCCCTTCTTTCCCTGAGCTTGTAGAGCCTTTCCAAGGAAAGTACGTGGGATTAGGCAGTGTTTTCCTCCCATCACTCCTTCACCTGTCATCTTCCTAGAGCTGGATTCCTCACATTCTCCTCCAAGGATGGTAGTGTGACAGGTAGGACAGCTAGTAACCAGGAGTGGACTGTTTGGAAGGGACCCGGAAGGAGCATTTCTGCCCCAAGCCATGCCCCTTAGCCTCAGCCTAACAGAGACTGAAAATTCCTAGCACCAGTCATGACTGTAGTTATGATGTTGTTCCTCAAATATGCAATACTTATGTTCATGGCATCTGCCATTCATGACTTCCACCGATCCTATTATTTCCTTATTACTGCTGTTTAACCTGCTTTAAATTTGTACTCATTAGCTTATCAAACTCAGTTGTGTTCACTACCAGATGGCTCAGGTGATTCATTCATTAATATGTTTCCTGGTACAACTGAAGACCTGAAGTCCAGTTATTTCCTAGACTCCCATTTCCACCAACAACTTTACCTTATTTTTAAATATTTTTTTAAATATTTTATTTATTTATTCATGAGAGACAGAGAGAGAAAGAGGCAGACACAGGCAGAGGGAGAAACAGGCTCCATGCAAGGAGCCTGATGCGGGACTGAGTCCTGGGATCTCAGCCTGTGATCATGCCCTGTGCCAAAGGCAGATGCTCAACTGCTGAGCCATCGAGGTGCCCCTATCTTTACCTTATGATTGCAAACTTCCCATTTTAAGTCTCCAACTCAGGAACTGGCAAACTTCTTTTTTTTTTTTATTAAAATTGCATTTTATTAATGCAGAAAATACATTGGTAATCAACAATTAAAGGAAATTGTGCTGCATGAATAATAAATGATGCTTGAAAGTCGTTGAGATGTTTTCTTTTTTTAATTTATTTTATTTTTTCTATTTTTATTATTTTATTTATATTTATTTTAATATATTTATTTTTTATTGGTGTTCAATTTGTCAACATACAGAATAATGCAAACTTCTTAAACATGGGGCCAGAGAGTAAATATTTTTAGGTTTCTAGGCCAAGAAGCAAAATTGAAGCTATTCTGTAGATACTTACATAAGAGATGGAAAACAAATGCCTGTGCATTTTTATTAACAAAAAAGTTTTTAAAAATTATTATTATTATAGTTATTGAGGATAATGTTTTAGTATTGTGCCTACTTATGAAGATAGAACTCCTTTTTTGGGGGGGTAGAGTTTTGCTTAATTGGAGTTCAGCAGTAATGTTTTCTTTCATCAGGTGAATTACAAATGCTCTATTGTAAAAACCATTCCCAGCTCATGGGCTGTGTAAGAGTACACAGTGGCCAGGCTGTGTTGCACCTGCAGGCTGCAGCCTGCCAATGCCTGCTCTAAGCTATGATAGACTTCATAAGGAAAAAATGGGTCTGACTGTCAATGTACAAAACTGATGTTCAATGTCAAGCTAAAACAATGCCCTGATGTCAAACGTCACAGAATAAATTACACCAAGAATGAACCCTAATATAAATTATGCAGTTTGTGTGATAATGATGTGTCAGTGTAGGTCCATCAACTGTACAAATGTACCGTCCTGGGTGGAGATGCTGGTGCTGGAGGAGGCTGTTTTTGTTGGGGGCTGGGAAGGGAGTGATATGGGAAATCTCTATATCGTCCTCTCAGTTTTGCAGGGAACCTAAAAATGCTTTAAACAAAATAAAGTCTATTAAAAAAGTGCCCTGCTGGACATAATACCTCAATACCCAGGACCCTGTGATGTGTATCATCTAGCAAGCATTGCCCTGAGCAGATATGAGAAGGTTCGGTTGGCAAAGGTCAGGAAGATTTGTGGCCAGGCCTGATACTTGGCTTAGATTAGCTGTGTTTATGGACATTGGCAAAACCAAGGACCTGACATCTAGTTATCTTTCTTCCTAAATGTTCATTGAACTTAATTCACAACTGTTGAAATACAAAATATCTGTCCATCTACCTAAAATGATCTCTTGGTAAGTGACCACTGTACTCTGATAAATAGGGGGTTGGGCCAATATTTTTTGACTCTGACTGCACATTAGAGGTACTTGGGGGAAATAAAGAAACCAAAAGGCAAAGCTTGGGCCCAATTCTAGACCAGTTACACAGGAATCTCTGGAAATAGGGCTTGGTTATTGGTATACTACAAACATCTCCAAACAATTTTGATGTGTATCCAGGGTTGAGAGTGACTGAGGCATGGCAGGGTGTCCCCAAAAGTTTGGTGTAAAATGTATCACTAGGAAGGGCAGTTCAGTGAGAAATTTCTAGGGAAGAACATCCTTCAGCACAAATGATGTGCTGATGATGGGGTGAGATTGGGCAATGGAGCTCTGAGAGTATGTACAGGAAGAGGTCACAGGAGAGCCCAGGTCGCATGCTTTACCAGGGCGGGTACAGTCCCCAGACAACCAGCGTGCAGCTGGTTATTCAAGAGACGGATGGGAGTAGAAGGGAGAACCTCCCCCCAAACAAAGAGCCCACTTTGCAACTGAATCCAGTTCCCCAAGATCTCTTCCCTGATGCCCAAGGCCCCTGCTCACCTCACATTTGCCAGGGGTCCAGCACTCTCAAAGTTGTCTCTGAGGTCTGGCCCATCACCTGATGACTTATGAGAATCAGAATATGAGGAAACACTATTGAACCGGACTTTGTAGCTCCTGCCAAAACAGAAGACAGCCTGTGAGTTCTGGCTTGGAACTCCCTCTGGGGTCAATGTCCCAATGGACCTTCACATGACAAACCCTGTTTCTAGGACCTTCTCTTACATGTTGAGACCATAATGCTTCTATGGATGCTTCCAGAATGGATCAACTTACCCTCATCCATCATGACGATAGCTAGCCATCGGCACATGACACTACGTGTATTTAAAAGGTTCCTGACCACACTCGACTCAGGAATCTTGAGAACGAAATGGTCAAGATGATTTAATTGGCAAAAAGTCACAAACAGAATAGACCATCCCCTAACTATGAGACCAAGCTACCTTGCTTCCCAAATTTTAACAAGCACAAGAATCATCCTGGGATGATGTTAAAGTGCAGGTTCTGATTCAGCAGATCCAGGCAGGACCTGAGTTTCTGCATTTCTAATGAGCACTCAAGGGATGCCAATGCTGGTGGTCCCCAGAACTCACTTTGAGTAGCCAGGAACTAACCTGTGCTGTCCACTATGTAGTAGCTATGTGCGTCTTTTTTTTTTTTAAAGGTTTTATCCATTTATTTGAAAGACAGTGAGAGAGCGAGAGAGATCAGAGAGTGAGAGGGAGAAGCAGAAACCTGCTGAACAGGAAGCCTGATGCGGGGCTCGACCCCAGGACCCTGGGATCATGATCTGAGCCAAAGGCAGACACTTAACTGTCTGAGTCACCCAGGTGCCCCGGTAGCTATGTGTGTCTATCTAAACATAAAGTTAGGGATGCCTCCGTGGTTCAGTGGTTAAGCACCTGCCTTTGGCTCAGGGTGCGATCCTGGGATCCTGATAGAGTCCCGCATTGGACTCCCTGCGCTCGGTCTGTCTATGTTTCTGCCTCTCTGTGTGTGTCTCTCATGAATAAATAAATAAAACCTTAAAAAAAAAGTCAAATTGATTTGAAATAAATACAGTTAAAAATCTGTTCCTCACTAGCAAGTGCTCAGGAGCCACATGTGGCGTGGCTGCCATATTGGATGGCACAGATATAGAACATTTACACCATCCTAGAAAGTTTTATTGGATTATGCTGGACAACTCCCATTCAACATTCTCTTTCTAGTAAGTTACGGTCCTTGGACACTTCAAGGATCTGTCACATTTCCCGTTTCAAGTAAACGTGGAAAATGTTCAGCACTGAGACATGGCATGAAAAGAGATTCAACTTCTTATTAAACTATTTTGAAGCAGAAGGAAGATGTCACTGGGACTCAAACCTCAGCATGAGAGGCTCAGGAGACTTGAGACTTCAAAAAAAAAAAAAAAACCCAGTTTCCCTGTTCTCCTCCCAAAGTGGGAAGTTTTGTTCTTAGACGAGGCAAAAACAAAACATAAAAACACTGTAAAAGACCAAAAAACACAACAAAACGACTCCTCCCAAAACAAAAGACCAACACCCAAACCAAAACAAAACGTCTCAGCAGACAAATCTGAGTGCAAAAGACAAAAAAAGACATTGCGCATTCTGGCAGCAGGGCTTGTAAGCTGGACGTTCTTCAAAGTATTTGTTCCAGCGTCAGGAAAGTTCTAAATATATGTAAGTGTATTTTCTGCCCTAAAATAGTCTCACATTGAGTCATTTCTGCAAATAAGTCATGCAACATATCAGGGGGTGGCTGTGTTGTTAGTGTGGGAGGGATGGTTGATGCTTGTGGGTTAAAAATAATAGCACATGTATTTGTATGAGGTTTGAGGTTTTTCCAAACGCTTTCCTCTTTGTTTTTATCCTTTGATCCTCTCAACAACTCCCAGAGGTAGTTAGGGCGGAGACGATTTCTCCCCATTTGGCAGATGAGAAAGACTGAGACCCAGAGAGGTCAAATGCCTTGCTCAAGGTAACTTAGTGAGTGAGTGGCACAGCCTGGGTTAGAACTCAGGTCTCCTTGAGACCCACATGTGTCCTTGGATGCTTTGGCACTGGGTATGCATGCACATGTGCACACACATGCCCACACGCATACACGAACATGGTGCATACATGTGCACCAACGTGTGCACACACAGATGGGCACACACACACATGCACATGCACACACGCACACACACTCTACCTCTGCTGGCTGTCACGAACTGCAGCCAGACCATGGACTTCTGTGTCACCTTGGGGGAGGGGAGGCCCTTTACGGGGAAAGAAACGCAAGGGTTCCGGGTACCTAGAGGGGAGAAAGGATGGTGCCCTCTCTCTCCCTGAAGGAGGGGTGAGGGGGAGCCTGTGGTGATCACCTAGGAAGGAGAGGGACAGGGAGAGTGGGGACAAAGGTGGCTGAGCAGGAGGGACACAGCTATCCCTTGGATGTGGAATGTATATGAACTCGCCAACAGGTGCTTGGCTATGAGAAAACCAGGAGAGGTTTTCTGCAGACTATGGCCTCTAAGTAGCAGTCAGCTATGGCATTTGCTCTGCTCCATGCTGGAGGGGACACTGTGTTGGTCTCACCGAAAGATAGCTCAGCTTGCACACGCCATATGTTCTCTACTTTATGCAGGACTTTGGGCTTTGCAAGGGTACTCAGGATAACAGGTGTTTGTCACCTTACAAAATATCTTTTAAACCCAACACCACATTGGAATGCAATTTCACTATGAACATCTTTTGGCTCCAGGCATTTTTTTTTTTTTTTGCCTTATGAGGTATCTTATCTTCTGAACTCAACCTCTACATTAGCCGGCAACTCCACCAAGAGCATCTGATGGAACTGTTGTGGGGAAAGAAGCTCATTTTCATTAATTTTGAAGCTAGGTTTCCAAAGAGGAAAAATAGTAAGAACTGGTGTTTACACGGGGCTCCTAAGTTTTCACAAGATGCTTACATCTATTTTCTCCTTTGATTCTTACAAGTTAAGAAGTTAAGGCAGGTGTAACAAGCCCTATTTGATGGAAAAAGAAACTGGGACTTGGGGCAGTGCAGTCACCCGAGAAGTCAAAATATCAGCCCCAGTGGACCCCAGACACCCACCAGCTAAAACTGCTCACAAATGGACTTCAGGTCACAAAAACCCGCCAGCACTCAAATGTGAAACCCAGATGCCAAAAGATAATCTTCAGCTGCCTCCAGAGTGTGTAATGTGACCCTGGAGGGTCATTCACTTACTTCCTTTCCTCATGCACAGAGTTGGGATGCCTCATTTCCATCAAAGCACAGCCGAATTTCTGGAAGCCAAAAGAGAGGATTGAAACGTGAAGCATGGATTTCGAAACGTGGAATAGGGTTGGGCATTGAGAGTCTGGGGTCCTGGCTGGCACAAGAGGAGTGGCTCCAGGGGCCAGGATACTAGAGATGGTCAGGGGTTCAGGCTGGGCAGCTGTACTCCAGCTGCAGGTGCATTTGGAAGGGCCAGCTGATGTAGGGGCTACAGGTGTGAACCTTTTACCCCCAGCTCACAAACCCCCATTGTGGCTTTCTCTTTGTAAAAAGATTGTCCCCACTTCTCTCAGCTGGAGCAGGGGATGCCAAGGTCCTGATTGGAGCATCCAATCCAAAGCAACAGCTCACTCAGGCAACAGCATTTTCACTTGGAATTGGCTAGTCAGTGGACACTGAGAGATTGAGGTCTGGGAAGTGTCCAATCTCTGTGGAACTTGGATCCAAATCAAAGTCACAGGCTTTTGAGGCTCTGGGAGGATTTGCTACTGACTGGCAGGTGTAACTGCTCCCCCCCACCTCCCCAATGGAGAACATGCTAGAATAGGTGAAAGCTCATCTTACCTCCCCATTCTCAGGTGGATCTCCATTGCCAAAAGTGCTGGTAACCACCAGGACCAGAGTTTCATGCTCCAGGTGTACAATGTCATATTCTTCCATGGACATCACCTAGGAGGGCAAGGGTGAAGGAATGGTGGGGGAGAGGAAGGGAGAAGGTGGCAAGAGAAGAGATAAGAGAGAACAAAAAGTGATGGGGGAAGGAGAAGAGAGACAAGGGAACAAGATAAGTCATCTTGAGCTGTTGCCTTTGGAAGGAGAACTAAAAGTTCTGAGTGTCACTATTTCAATGGGCTCAAGTCGGTAGACCTAAAATTTTTGGCAGTGTGGGACCTTTCTGTGGTCACAGTGGCCTGAAGGACCATAAAGAACCTGGGGCAGTGGTGGAAGGGGGTTAGCTGCTAATAGAGACAGATCTTGATGGAGATCCTTATAATCAACTGGTTGTGGAATTTTCTTGACCACATATAGGCTGAGAATGGCCCAGCTGGATCTGCCCAAGTCTGCTCAGCTTCCTTGCTAATCCTCCCTCCAGCAGCATGGGACCTGGGTGAAATAATTCTGAGATCCCTGCCGTAGGGAAGATATTGCCCTATATCTTAGCATCTCTTGAGCAACATTTCTCCAAGTAGGTTCTAGGGAAGCCCAGTCTCCTGAGAGGCTCCTTGAAAATAAGTGAGCCATGAACAAATATGTTTATATTCTATCCCCTTCTCATTTGGAAATTAGAATACAATTGACCTTGAACAACATGGGTTTGAACTGTGTGGGTCCACTTATATGTGGTTCTTTTCCAATAAGGACAATACAGTATTGTCAATGCAGTTTCTCTTCCTTCTGGTTTTGTTAATAACATTTTCCTTTCTGTAGCTTACTTTACTATAAGAATACAGTATATAATACATACAACATACAAAATACGTGTCAATCAACTGTTCATGTAAGGCTGGTCAACAATAGGCTATCTGTAGTTCAGTTTTTGGGAGTCAAGAGATACATGCAGATGTTCAGCACCCCTGGCCCCCATGTTGCACAAGGGTCAACTGTGCAGACTTGCAAATTGAAGGCTCTGTGATATCATTGAAATGGGTTTAATGCAGAGCTTCCCAAACTGACCCCAGAATGTCTTCTCATCAACCCTCTAAGATTTTGCTTTGAGATGGGGTTTAATTTTGTGATTCCTGGACTCCTGGAAGGTCATGGGAAGAGGGGCATCAAAGTCCCCTGAAATTTATACGAATATGCATGTACATGCTGATGGGCACCTTGTGATGTGCTTGTGCATCCATTCTCAAGGGTTCTTTTTCTCTGTTAACTTCCTCCACTCCCCTTCCCAACTATATATTTACCACATGGGACCAGGGAACTGACACTGCCCACTACCCACCTTGGCATCAAAAGCATGTTTGAAGATCTCACACAAGGTTTTAGCATAGGCCTGTGACTTGCCCGTCTCAGTGGCATAAAGGATGGTCGCCTTGACCCTCTTGGCCATTGCCTGCCCCATGAGCTTGGCCGAGAACTTGACGGCTCTGGGGAGAAGAGGATGGAGAAGAAAATGGGAAATGTAGAAAAGAGGGAAGATGCTAGGCTGGGGCTTTGTGGCAAGGATCATGATCCTTGGAATGTAACGGGAGAGAACTTACTCTTCTCTTGATCTCTGATGGTTTCAGGGACACTAGAAGCCTAAGTCTAGCACCATATCAACCCTTTTATTAAATCTCTCAAGAGAAACTAGTTAGGGCAGCCCAAGTCGCTTAGTGGTTTAGTGCTGCCTTCAGCCCAGGGTGTGATCCTGGAGACCCGGAATGGAGTCCCATGTCAGGCTTGCTGCATGGAGCCTGTTTCTCCCTCTGCCTGTGTCTCTGGCTCTCTCTCCCTCTCTCTCATGAATAAATAAATAAAATCTTAAAAAAAAAAGAGCAACTAGTCATGAGCTAACATGGTTGTTAGTTTTGTTAGTTTGTTGCTTGCCTGACCAATCCCAGTCTGAGAACCTGGGTTTGCCAAGCATGGCCCCCAAAGATGATAGTTCATTCATTCATTCATTCATTTGTTCATTCATCAAACATTTGTTGAGTGCTAAATCATGTGTCAGGCATAGTTATAAGAGCTGAAGAACATAGACATGGAGCTTAATTCTAGTGTGTGTCTGTATGTGCATGTGTGTATGTGTGTGTGTGATAGAAAGAGAGACACTAATAAATCACCAGGTATTGAATTAGAAGGGATTTTAGAGGCTTATTTATCCAAAAAGGAGGACTTGTTCCAGTTTAGTCAGGCTTCATATACAGGATCTTGCACAGAGCCTGATATCTAATAGGCACTAAATAAATATCTAACAAAAGAGGGAAGGAATGAATTTTAAAGACACTGCTACCACCGAATCCCTGGGGAGTCTAACTATTAAGTCTAGGCTCTTTCTAGCTAAATGGAGGATTCAGAACCAGTGTTCCTTCCCTCCTGCCAATGAGGGCGTGGGGGTGGCAGATAGGCAGAGGCTCAGGAATGCCTGGGCTCACCTTCTGAGCTGGCACCCCTGCTCCAACAAGGAACCTTAGAGTAGACAAATTGCTAATTAGCCCCACCTGGGGATTATTGGTGGGAAATTCATTTTTTTAGAATAAGGGAAACCACCCACACTGCAGGAGCACTCCGAGCTAAGAGGGAGAAACAGAAAAGAATAAAAGGTGTCTGGAGGATTCCCTTTGCATGATCGGAGCATAAAAAAGCATCTATAATTAACCACCATTGTTTCTACCCCACACTTAATAGTGCAATTAATGTTTTAGATTTCTTACTCTCTCTTCTCCCAAAAACAGCTCTACTGAACTAAAGCCAAAGCCTGCCCTCCCTGAGAATATTCGTGATTCTCTTGTTAGGGAAAGGATGGCCACTGATGTGTTCTTGTTTGGCTGCAAGATGGGGTTAGGTGGAAAGAGAGACAAGCGTGGGAGATAGAGGGACAGAGGTGCCATGGGCCATGTGACTGGAGCCAGGACCTAGGTCTGCAGTCCCTGCAGGACCCACCAGTGCCTTTCTTTTGGGGTTCATGGCATGGATGGCATCTGTTGCACATCGTGGGATTGTACCCAGAGAATTCTGGACCTGAGGGTGCTGATGGAAGAGTTGCTCACTGTGTATCCAGCTCCTCTGCCAAAAGGTTAACTCCAAACAGGGGTCTCTGCTGAGTGGGTCTCTTTAGGAGAAGGCTGCTATCCCCATTAGATCATCTCTGTCAGCCCCACCTAACTTGTCAGCGGGTCCCGTGGTTGGCCACACATTCTTTAGGATCATTACTCTTCTGTGGCCTGGCCCATCATCTCCTTCCTGCCCTCCTTTGCTCGGTTAAGTCTATTCATCTCATTCTTCAGCCCAATTGTCATTTTCTGAAGGAAGCTCTCTCTGACCTTCCAATCTCGGCTAACTCTATTTATGGCACCATGAATCATTCCTCAATGGCACCTGTAATGTTTCCTGTATTGGTGTGATTCTTGGGAAACGAATGGCTGTGAGCTTTGACAGGAACAACATTTATCTGGCTCATCAGGCATGGCTGGAGCCTAGCACAGTGCCTGGCACAGAGTAGGCCCTCAGTATTCATTTGTTGGACAAATGAATGAAGGAAGGAAAGAATGAATGAGTAGTGTTAGAGCTCAGCCTTTGGTGAGAGCCCTGCGAGTTGGCTTGTTCCAGCTCCTCCCACCTCTGGGTGCAGTGACTTCATGTTAGTAGCTTGAAATTGGCCAGAGGGGGAGTATTTACACCATGGAAATTGGCAAATGTTATAAATCTATTATTCTTATTATAATTACTAGTGCAGTTATTATTTTTAGGAGATCTGGTTTATCAACATGCTATTGCCTCCAAGACAAGAATTTAGGACATGGGAGGTGAGCAATGTGAGACTGGGAAGGAAAAGAGTTGAAGCGACATCCGCATCTCAGATCCTGAGGCAAAGAAGGCATGAGGGGTTCAGAGAAGATGGAGAAATCACATCACAAAAGGGGTCAGAGGGCCAAGCATCAGCGCAGCCTCCTTTACTGGGGCTCACTGATTTTGGAGGCATTCCTATCTCCCACCCACTTCAGGAGACTTACTCTGCCAGCTTCTTGAAACCGATGGCTCGCCGCTTTGTGGGAGTCCCATTGGTACCTTTCCAGACATGGGTGTTCCAAGGCTCCGGCTGGGAAGAGAGGACCATGGTCACCACAGTGAGGGAATCCAACTCCTCCTGGGGGATGCTCAGGACTTCCTGGGCGCTCGTGGCTCCCAGCTATGTCCAACCCTCAGCTCTTGAAGGGACTGCTGGTGATGAGCATGGGGTCCTTGCACAGAGTAGCTGGTCCAGTCTCTCTGCATTGTCCTGCTAGACCTTTCCACTCAGCCCTTGGTCCCACTCAAATACTTCCCTGGGGACCCCTGACTATTCACTTTGCCTCCACTAGTCTTTTAGCTAGAGCTACACTGTCCAATATGGTAGCCATCAGCCACGTTGGCTGTGGAGCACTTAGATGTCCAAAGAGCAAATCTGAATTCAGACATGCTTGAAGCAAAACAGGCATAACAAATATTAAAGACTTAGCACAAAAGAGGCAGGGAGGGGCAGGACCTGGTATTCGAAGGAGGGGGTAAGCCGGTAGTTGAGCATCTCCTGGTGGAAGACAGGGGTGATGCTGCCAGACATGGGGGGCACAATCCACACCCAGTCAGCAGGGCAGCCCCCTCGGCAGCGGTATTCATTCTCCATGTGCTTAATGAAGGACTCGGTGGCAGAGTGGTGGTCAACGATGGTCACTTTGTCACTCTGCAGAAGGAAAGGGGACAAGGAGTCAGGAAGAAAGGGAAGCTGGGGTATTTTGGGATGCCCTTCCCCATAGAGCAGCGTTTCCCAGAATATCGTCCTGGAGGTGATGTTAGGCAACGTGAAGTGGCTTTCCACATTTCTCTCTCAATTATACCCACGGGAGAGTCTCCTTTTGGTACTAACACATCTCTAATGCCTCTCTTGCCAAGTTTCCTCTCCCCCCGCCACCCCACTGGCTTTTTCATGAGAGAGGAACCTCAGCGCTGAGCTAGAATTTAACAACTTTGCATTGTTTTCTTTGTGTTTATTTGCTTATTAATTAATATTATAGTCACCTTCTATTTATGGCAACTGATACTGACTCTCCATTTGTGGTGCTGATACAAAAGCCTCTTAAAATAAAAAAAAGTACTGAGGATGAGTTGATTAAAATTAAAACCCAGAAATCACAGTAAAGGTGCAGGACTGCATATCTGGGTAACCAGCCCCTGGGGCCCATTCTGGTCGGCTGCCCTGGATTCACACCTTGTCTAGACAGTGCTTTCCCTCTTTGCCCACAAAACCTTACCCCTTTCTGCATTTTCTTTCCTCAATCACTCACCCGCTCCCATCTCTCCCATCTCTGGCTCACTGGTACCCCCAGTCCAATGAACTACACTGTATCCTTCTCAACGACTCCTGAAAACCTCACTCCTCCACGGTTGAGGGAGAAGAGGGGGTTTCCTTCCCTATCACCCCATCTCGACCTGTATCTTCCCTGGGATACTCCCCAGTGTGTCCATTCTCCCTACACCCACAGTTCATGTTCATGTCCATCCATGACCTGATGCTTTCATTCTACTGTCTGTGCCTTCCATGTATGTCTAGGAGGGCCTAGCTTCCCAGACTCTCAGCCCCCAGAGGATATAGAGCTGGTTTCTATTACAGAGAGTGATCTCTATTCTATAGTCTTCTATAGACTTCTGCCCAGGATAATGCCAGCTTATGGCTGTCACCCTGGCATAATTATTAGCAGCATCGTCCTTTTGCACTCAAAAGAACTGTGGTCTAGATAATAAATTCTACAGCCATTCTACGTAATACCACTCATTGACCTCACACATTGAGGGGCCTATATGCTTCTGATAATGAAGAGGGGTATTTGTGTCTGTTTTGTGATAGTCTGAAACCTGAAGAGGTGACAAGACACAGAAGATGCCTGCCATTCAATTCTAATAAATCTTAAACAATAAATCACACTGCCCCTCATCCCTATCTATTCATCTCTTCTTCAAATGGTCTCCACCCAAGATCCAAAATGGAGACTAAGGCATGTATTTTGGGAAGCAGACCTTGCTGACGGACAGATACACCCCTGGCAGCCAGGTCTCTTGACATTCTGCTTCAAGCCTCTGGAAGGTTTTAGTTTCCCCTGGAGACTGGACAGCCAGGATGTGTGCCCTATGCTACCTGGAAGCTATAGAGGACAGCAATGTTAATTTCCACCAGTGCCTGGTCCTTCCACAGGGAGGATGTCTTCCTCATGTCCAAGTTCATCTTCTTGGCCACTTCCTGAAAAAAGAACAAAACACAGACTCACAGGCTGGGCCATCTTTGGAGAGACAGGGCTAGCTAGTGTCACCAATGAATAGTCAATTCATAGCCAGATAGATGAATTCACTCAAAAGATTTTTCTATTGAGTACCTACTGGTAGCAGGAAACTAGAGAGACTTGGATGGCCCCTTTGTTTTTGAGCTTACCTTCTAGTGGGGGAGAGATACAGTTAATATTATGATGAGGGCTAATTCCCAGGGAGAAAATAAGACAAGGAAATGAGATGAAGAGGGATATGGGGGCTGGGTTGAGCCGGGATAGTCAGGGAAGGCCGACTGTGGAAGTGGCACAGCAGGTGAGATCAAAATGATGGGAGGAAGCAAGATATCTGCAGGTCTACTGAGGGAAGGTTCTAGGCAGAGAGAACAGCAGGTGCAAAAGCCTTGAGGTGGGGTGAGGCTTGCACCATCTGAGATACAGAAAGAAGGTCAGTGTATTTGAGGGGCGTGGGTAGTGAGCCAGGGGAGTTGGTGGGAGAGAGGCAGCATTGGATCATGCAGGACCTGGGATGAGCCTAAGGAGTGGAAATTTCATTCCAAATATCATGGAGAGCGTCTTTAGAGGGTTTTAAGCAGAAGTGTGGGTCTGGGAGTGACATGATCTGCTTTTTGGAAGGGAAAGCTCTCCACTGATTCTGCTCCATGCCTGGAGTAGCCATACTTGGGATTCAGATCATGGATGCTTTGAGCTCAGTGGGGACAACTGCCTGACTCCTATTTGAGAGATAAGGAAACTAGGCTCAGCAAGGTCCATAGAGCCATTTGGCCTCGGAGCTAGAGCCCAGGCAGATGCATAATGTTCAAGATCTGAGAGCTGCTCCCTAGCCAGCCAACTCCATTGGCAAAACTACTGGAAAAAACCCAACTCCTGACATGTTACAGCTCAAGCTGAACCAGGGACTGATGTCAGGAGTTGGGAAGACCCACTAGCAAATTCATTAATTAGAGCCTTGCTATTCTTTCCTCTGTCAATTCTAGTCACTTGTGGGAGCCCAGGTCTCATTATGGGGCTATGAGGCGACAATTTCTCAGGTTTGGGTAAACTGCTTCTCAGCCCAGCTGTCAACATTTGTACATAACAGCAGTCAGACTGGGAGGGCAGGCGTGGGAGAGAGTCTCATTTAAGTTACTTGGGAATGACTCCCTGCAATCGAAATGTAAGCAGAGATCATGAAAGCAGATCTCATATTAATTCATTCTTTGAGGCTGAGGTGTGAGGTTCTGCTGTGGTCCATTGGCAGTGACACACAGAAAGAAATTTGCTGCTTTACATGAAAAACATATAAAACTTGAGTTATTTTATGAGAGAGGAAAGTGTGTCTAGCCATTATGTTGCTACTGTTATTTCTACACCACTACTTTGGTTAAAAGAATGGAAAGCAGTTGCAGGAAAAAAAAAAAGACTGTATGATTAAAAAAAAAAATCCCCAAATGTGACTTGAGCCACATCTATAGAAATTGCCTGAAACATCTTTTCCTTTCCTGTCGGAAGTTCGTACAGATCAGTGGCTGCCTAGTAGACTCTTCCGGGGAGCTTTGAAAAATGCTGGTATCTAGGCTCTATCCCTGAGCAATTATAACCAAATCCTGGTGAGTGGGACTCGGGCATAATAAAGTTCCCAAGGTAATTCCAGTGTGTGGCAAGGCTGAGGACCCCTGGCTTCTGTTTCCAAAACTTTGAGACCTACTTGGCATAACATCGTGTGAGTTTAAGGTATAGAAATCTAACATGTTGTTTGACACATTTATATATTGCAATATGATTACCACTGTTAGTTAACACCTCTGTATCATGCCACATAATTATTATTTCTTTTTCTGTGGTGGAACAATTAAGATCTAGTCTCTTAGCAACTTTGAAGTTTATAATTCAGTATTGTTGACTATAATTACTCTTCCATGCATTGGATTTCCAGAACTTATTTATCTTTTTGCTGCAAGTCTGTACCCTGAAACATCTCCCTAACTCCCCCCCCCCCCGCCCCGACCAGCCCCTGGTAGTCAGCATTCTCCTCTTTTTTTATGAGTTTTGCTTTTTTAGATTCCATATACATGTGATATCATATCATTTGTTTTTTTTTTATTTATGATAGTCAGAGAGAGAGAGAGAGAGAGAGAGAGAGGCAGAGACACAGGCAGAGGGAGAAGCAGGCTCCATGCACTGGGCGCCCGACGTGGGATTCGATCCGGGGTCTCCAGGATCGCGCCCTGGGCCAAAGGCAGGCGCCAAACCACTGCGCCACCCAGGGATCCCTCATTTGTTTTTTCTCTCTCCGACTTATCTCACTTAGCGTAATGTCTCAAGGCCCATCCATGTGAACACCCATGGATTTTAACAACATAAACCTAATGCTCAACTCTCAGTTCTAATCTTGCCTTATTTACTGTGTGACATCAGCCCAGCTCACCACTGCTCTGTTTCTTAGCACCTCCTTTTGAAACACAGCCCACCACAGCAGACAGTTGTTAGGAATAACAGTCGCTGGCAAGACCACAGCTATCCTGATGTATCTGCCAGGTCTGAGCTCCAGACTCCACCCTAGCAGCGTTTAGTAGAGGAGGATGACTCAGTCAAGGAGGGAATCAGACTCGCTGCAGAGAAATGTATATGCTGGCCAACTGCTGCCAACCCTCCTCCTTTGTTTTTCAGAAAAAAGGCAAGAAATCTCTTGAGTTCATGGGTCATTTTCTTTTCTTTTTCTTTAAGGTTTTATTTATTTATTTGAGAATGAGAGAGAGAGCACGAGCAGAGGGTGTGCCAGAGGGAGAGGGAGAAGCAGATTCCCCACTGAGCAGGGAGCTGGATGCAGGACTCTGGGATGCCAGGTCCTGGGATCATGACCCTAGCGGAAGGCAGATACTTAACCGACTGAGCCACCCAGGTGCTCCTTTATGGATCATTTTCAAACTGGCCTAATAAGAGGCCAAGTGTAGCTGGGTGGTTAGGACTTTGGACCATTAAGCCAGACTGAGTTCACATCCCATCTCTGCCACTCACTAGCTGGGTGACCTTGAGCTTGTCGCTTTAACCTTTGAAAGGCCTCAGCTTCCACATCTGTGAAATGGGGATTAGCATACCTGGAGCTTGTGCTGGGGATGAAATGAGCACATAACAGACACAAAGTGCTTGGAACAGTGCCTAGCCCAGAGTACATGCACTGTTCCTGCTGTGGATGCCCTGGGATTTGCCAGGGGCCCCATCTAGGGTGCAGGTTCTGTTCTAACCTCTTCCAGTTTCCATGACCCAAAGCTCGGCTGTGGGGGAAGGACCGTTGGGCCCACCCCCTCTGCCTCCTGCTGGCCCATCGTGATGGCCAGGGAGGGACCTCACCTCCAGGATGTTGTATCGAGAGTTGTCACAGTAGTCGCGGACGCCAATCTCTGTGCCCATGTACCAGCCGCTGAAGGGACAGGCGCTGAACTCCAGGCCGCCGATCTCCAGCAGCATGTTGGACACAGCGGGGAGGCCGTACCACTTCAGGCCCAGATCCTTGAACCACTCAAACCTGCAGAGAGTGACACAGCCCAGCTCACCACGGGGCAGGAGCCTCTCAGGCAGACATGTGGGCGGAGCAGCCTGAGTCTGGGGATGTGGAAATGCCAGCAACCTCCTGGGATGTCAGAATCTTTCTCCTGGGCTCCGCTTCAGACCTGTGGGATCATAGCCGGGGCTGATGATAAGCATTTGAAACAAGTTTCCCAGGTGATGGGGATGAACATCCAAGCCCAGGAACCACTGCGCTGGGCTGCTATTTATCTCCTGAGCCCACTCTGAAAGTTAATCCAGCAGAAAGGGAGTCTTGCCAACTTCCTTCCTACCTCAGGGCCTTTGCATGGCACTTTCTTCTTCCTGGGACCTTCTCTCTTCCTTCTGTGTCTGTCCAGCCCTTATACAAACTTTAATTCTTAGCTAAAATGTTGCTTACTCTGAGAAATCTTCCCTGATGCTTAGTTTAGCTTGGGTCAGGTGGCTTTATCCCTCTGGGAACCATAACATTTCTTTTGTGGCACTTTTTGGGAACTAAGTGGTTATTTATTTGAGTAATAGTATGTGTAAGTCCCCCTTCTTGGGACCAAAACCACCATAGGGGCAGAGACCATGTCACCTACAAAGGCTTGCACAATGCCTGGCCCAGAGCAGGGATAATAAACCATATTGTAGGAATGCATTAATGAATGTAGGCCAGGTTTCACTAGGGAGACTGGGTGAGTTCCCAGATACTGAGCAGTGTCAGGGGCCTCAGGACACTTGCTCCCTCTCCAGGCCTGGGACGAGGGTGAAGTAAGTCAGGCACTAGCCTTGGGTACAAAATGTAAGAGGGCCCCAACAAACTCAGTAATCAAGTCCAGGACTATTTTTTATTTATGTTATGTTCTAAATTAACTCTACGTTTTCCAAACAAATCAAAAGTAATGCAAAAGAAACTCCACAATGAACAAAACATCAAAACTTTAAATAAAGACAGGTCCCACCTTGCACGTGTATGACTTACCTGGCTTGCTTCACCTCAACCTCAGCCCTGAACTGGATCCTGTCTTTATTTAAAATTTTCATACAATTTTAAATTAAATTTTGATAAACTTTTTTGAGATAAAAATTAATTTTGATAAAAACATTGTGTTAAAATAATATTGGTCTGGATTGTTGAGCTTTTTGGTGCCACCCCCCCACACATGGTCCCCTGCCTCATTTAGCCTCCAAGGCCAATGTCTCACTGTGAATCTCCTTCACTCTCAAAGTGTGACCTCTGCTCGTGCTCCTGGCCAGGACTTGCAGTTCTCTCCTGGCTCCAAATTCTTTTTGGACTTGACTCACATCAGGTCACACAGTTTTAAACAGTTCTATTTAAAATTAGTGCCCACCACAAGACAGGAGGTGCTTCTGCTTTTCTGGAAAGCTGGAAAAAAGGCTAGAAAAAGGGCAGGTGTGGTTGATTGTGTAGGAGTGGGGTAAGGAGGGTGATTATGGTTCAGAAGAAATGTTCATCCTCTGGCTGGTCAAGGAGGACTTACTGCTTGTTGCTGGTGGGGAGGCAGGGGGTGTGGGGAAGGGGGTTGGGAGGACCTACTCTGCCCAGGCCCACTGTGACCAAGGAACCAAGACCCCCTTTCAGTTTCTGTCCGGGCAACAGGGAGAGCCAGAGGGTTAGGGACTGGCAGAGTGGGGCACTGGGTGAAACGCTCCATGCCACCCACCCCATGCCAGTTCCTCTTACTTGGGGTGCCTGATGGGTACTTCCAATACCAGCTCTGGAGGAATCTGGAAGAGCTCGGGGTCGTTGCCGTTGGCCTGGAGCAGGAGTGGCAGGACATCGAAGCGGCCTCTTGGGGGTTTCCAGCCCTGCTGTGTGCAGATCTGCAACCAGAAGTGGTCAGGTTATGCCACCGCCACTGCTGCTGTGCCCCAGACCCTCCAGACACTATGGCAGTGGGGGGAGGGGCAGAGATCCCAATGCAAGCCAGCAAGCAGCACCCTCCTCTGGAACTCCTGGAGGGCAAGAGCCAAATCTGTTGTATCTACAATACCCTCGAGCACAGGGTCTGGCATGTGCTAGGTACTTGCTCTGGAACTGTTTGCATCGGGCACCCTGAGATATAAAGAAAACCTACCACATCTGATGAAGGCGGAATTATCAGAGTTTGTGCATAAATGTATCTGTTAGAGCAGCTGTCCAATCGAAATATAAAGCAAACCACATAAATAATTGAAAATTTTTTAGCAGCTACATTTCAAAAGGTAAAAAAAAAAAGCCCAAACAAAAAAGCAGGTGAAATAATTTAAATAATACATTCATTTTAAATAATATATTTTAATTTCAACAATATTTGATTATTAGTTGCTAATCATCATAATCATATTTATATCAAAATTAACTTAATATATTTCAGTATTGATAGCAATATATTTTAATTATATACTTAACATTAAAATATGTAATATAGTTATCCAATAAATATACCAAATGTATAATATATTACATAATTAAATGTATTAATCATCATTAGTGTGATAATGGTAAATTATTAAATACATTATTAATATTACCATAATATATTTAACATAAATTTTAATATATTAACTAACTCAATAGGTATATTAATTTTTAATAAATATAATAGATTAGCCTAACATTATCTACAATATCATTACAATATGTAATCAAGATGAAAACTATTAAATGAGATATTTTCCACTCTGTTTTGTTCTCAGTCTTTGAGATCCGGTGTGTGTTTCCTACTCTCGAGGCACCTCAACTTGGACTTCCCACATTTCCAGCGCTCACTAGCCACATGTGGCCAGAGGCTGCCACCCTGGACAGCACAGAGCAGACGGTTTCGAAAACTATGGTTATGTGGTTATGTTTGGAGTGATTCTTTCTGCTGTGTCGGTAGGAAGAGGAAAAGCACGAAATCACGGGCTTAGAAGAACATGTGCTGTCAGCAAGGTTTCTGGAGACAGAAGGGGAGGAAGAGGCTGTGGCGTTTATGTTCTGGTGGCCATGAAGACAAGGTCAGCCAACTATGCAGTTAGCGCTCAGCCAAGTGGAGCCGAGAGTCTGGCTGAGTGTAAATCGGCACAGGTGCAACTCCTGGTCGCCCTGGTTACAGCCCCTTCTTCTCTCGATAATAACATTTTAATATCAGAAAGGGACACAGAACATAAAGACTTCTAACTCTGGGAAATGAACTAGGGGTGGTGGAAGGGGAGGAGGGCGGGGGGTGGGGGTGAATGGGTGACGGGCACGGAGGGGGACACTTGATGGGATGAGCACTGGGTGTTATTCTGTATGTTGGTAAATTGAACACCAATAAAAATTAATTTATAAAAAAAAAAAAAACATTTTAATAAGAAAAGCCACATGCAAATGAAGTCAGTAGCATTGAAAGAGTGGAGCAGCGCTTGGTTTTGCCAGCTCTGTCCTGAGGGGTGGTGACAGTGGAAAGAATAGAGATGAATCTCAACTGGGGATGGTGTTGACTAAGGTGATAAATAAGAAGGGTGCCAGGCTTTGTGCTTGAGATCATTCTAGGCATGGGTCTGCCCATGGTGTCTTCTACGGGCATAGGTGCTGTAAGCTATCGTGCGTTACCTAAGCTATCGTGCGTTACCTTTGCTACCCGTCTGCATCACCAGTGGATGGGGAGATGGTGGTGCCTGTTTTCCTCCTGGCTTTTATGAATTGATTTGGGCTGCCAGAAACTGTGGTCATATTGGTACTATGCAGAGACGTGCTCATCCAAAGAAGGACTGGGTAGGCAAAATTGTGGAAGTGAAGGAATGATAGGAGTCTGACATATTACCCAATTCAGAAAAGGTGGAGACTAGACAATAGTCCCTGTATGTCAGCTCCTCTCCTGCAAGTGGGAGGCAGGAGAACTTTGGACTGTACTTCAAGATCTCTCTCTGCTTATTTGGTGGCCTTGGAGAACTCATTCGGCTGTGTTGAGACTCAGTCTATTCATCCGTGAAGTGGGACAATAGTTCCTATCATGACAGCCAGACAAGGTAATGGATGAAAATGACCACATGACTAGCTGTAAGGGAATCAGCTGGACTGGGGGCACCTAAAAGGAGCAGGAAGTTGGGAGAGGAGTAAACGGTACCCCACTGGCTGCTTTCCCTGTGATGATAAGCGTTAAAGTAAGAAAAGGCTGTGGATAAAGACAGTTTAGGGGACTGAGAGCCCAGGCAGGGGATGGGGTGGGAGGCACACACCTCTGTGAATTCCACGTTGGCTGGGTCCCCTAGGATGGAACCGTCGGGCTGCTTGTAGCCGGCATAGCGGATGAGCTGAGAGTTCCAGACTCGGAAATCGTGCTTGCCGTCAGTCCTCTGGGGAAATATGGTGATGGCAGACCTGTGGTGGGGAGAGGGGGACCTGTGGTGTCAGGGCAGGGTTGGTGCCTTATGGACATACTGGAAAGGGCATCACCCAGGCCACCAAGTGTGTGAGGCTCAGGGTGGACTACCTCTGTGCCAAGGTCCCCAAAGGACCATGGGGTCACTGTTGAAAGGGAGGGACCATGCCTTGTCCCTCTATTGCATCACTGGTCTGAAGAATAGAGGATGGGAGGCCCTATGGCAGCCCTGGAGAACAAAGAATCCTGCTCTGCTTAGAGACCATTAAATACTCTTGGCTTGGGCTAGTTTCCCATGGGATCCTTTGCAGCTGGTAATCTCCAAGGAAACAATGTGGGATCCTCCTTCCCTCTAAGAGCCCACCACTGATTCCCAGCTCCAGTCTTGCACTTACCACCATCCTTAACTTCCTGCCCCATGTGCCCACCCCCTGTATCATACCAAAGTCTACACACTTACAACTAAGAAGAAACCTTAGTACTTCCCTTGTACTCACATTTATTCACTTTAGAAGAAAACTGGAGATGCCACTGGCCTCGCCTACCTAAAGAGGCAACTATGAGACTGTATACTGTTATTACATTGCAGGAAGATGTTGTTTGCTGAAGACACCTAGCTGGAGCCCCGCTCATGCTGCTAAAGGGGTGATCAGTAGCGTTAAGGATGTCTTAACACCAAACTGAGGCTTTGTCTTTGGCATCATCGGAAGGACATGGTTTAATGTGATCTCATACCAGGAGCTCCTGCCACCCGGCTCACCCGTCCCAACAGTGGATTCCATCCCAGGCTGCGGAAGCCACCGCCCTGGCTTGTGTCAGCATGAGGATCACATGGCAGGTCCAGTCCGTTGCTTGCAGATCTTCTCTACATATTCTGCCCCTGGAACTTTGCCCTGCTGCCCATCTTGGCTGGAATCCCTCTCTGTTGTCATGTACCCACATTCAAGGAGTGACTCAGATTCCATTCCTCCACAAAGCATCCCCTGTCTTGTATGTTTCCAGGGACGCCTTCTTTCTGGGCACATGAGGGTCTTACTGTGTGCACTAGACCAGATGCCATTGAATACTGCAGGGATGGTGCACTGCACCTGGGGGAGGGGGGAAGGGGGGCGAGTCTAGAATGAGGGCTGAAGGTAGCACTCACCCAGAGCCAACAGTGCTCTCAACAACCTCCTAGCAAAGGCGCCATATTGGAGATAACACAGAATGAGTCAAGCTGTCGGCCTTCCCTCCAGCAGTAAAACACATGGCCATTGCTTTGGTTGAGCACCAGATAAAGGGTGTTTGTGTAACATATATATTTAAAAAGTATGTTTAGAAACACCAGAATCACACACAGCGGGTAGAATGCTTACTCTGTGTGCGGGAACCGAGACCAACAGAAGAAACACAACACACTTATGTCTCCTAAACATAATTTCACTGAACAGCAGATCGAATGCCTTACATCTCGCTCTCCCTCTCCCTTCTCCTTTGCTTGCCTTTCTCTGTTATGTTTAGGTGATTTCTATGTATGGTATACGTTCTCTGATGGCTTTCTTATCATGTCTAGCAGAATATTTTGTTTAGTAGAAGATCTTGAGAACTGCCCTCCCAAGTTGATAACTGTAAAAAGTGGAGGTGCATTGCTTGGCTTTTGGTGATTCCCCCCTTCCCCATATTGCCTTGTAATATCACCATTTAGAGAAGAGCACATAAGCTCCTTGAGGGCTGAGACCTTGACTGGGCCCTCCATTGATGCTCAGGATACACGGGAGGGTTCTTGATGATGTACTCTGAGGGATGAGGCCTTTTAGGAGGAGATTGAAAAACCAATTCCCCAAGCTCAGGCTCTGGGCTTATATTATAGGCCCCTTCCCTACTGGTGGGCTCAGCTGGAGCAACAATTTCCTTCTCAAGGAAGGGACATGGCCAAGACAACTCTTGCTTAATGCAAACAAGCCACCATGGGGATAAGCTCAGTGCAGCCTGGGGCTTGTGGGAATTTCCCTACAGTGGCCCTCATGGCTCCTCCGTGGGGCTGGTCCTCAGCAGCTGGGACCAGATGCCGGGGCAGAACTGATTTACAAGATTGACAAGTAGAACTGTGGGGTCCCAGCTGTTCCCTTCCAGCTGCAACTTGCCAGCGTGGAAGCCGCCATCCCACATTGGTACTGGGATCCTCTGCCTTGGTCTGTCCCCTGGGGCTTTGTTCTTTGTCTGGGGCAAGAGGGGTCCAAGGTGTGGCTTGGCTGGGTAGCATCTGAGGGAGCTGCACCCACAGTGGCAGGAAAAGACATGGTCTTTTAAACCCAGGGAAATTCTAAGGTAGCTCCGAGCAACACAGTAGGATATGGTACAAGCAGGTCACTATTGGCACTGGGATTTTCCGTGTCCTGGGAATGGGAAACACCCCTTCCTTCCCCCTCCATGGGTGATATTGAACTGTGGGTCAAGTCTGATTTTGGTTGCAAGAGTCTATTTCTTCCAGAATAGACAGGGCATGGGAGGTGGAACAAAGCAGCCAGGCCACCTCTTCCAGCTAAGCACATCTCCCTGAGGGGAGAAGGGGAGCATTTTCTCTGCAGGTGAGCCAGTCAACTCCAGACCCCAGGGTCAGTGCTTTGGGGGCATCAGACTCCCCTCCCCCAAGCTGGCAGGCTCACCGGAGGTTCCCTTTGTTGGTGGCATACTTGATGTGGTTGCAGATGTAGTTGAACATCCCATGAGCTGTGGTGCAGTCACGGGCATCGAACACCTGCAAGGGGTACATGGTGAGAATGGGTGCCTCTGCCTTCCCTCCTCGGCTCCCCAGTGGGCGGAGAACCTGGAGCCCACGTCACCTGCTGCCCCACTCAAGTAGGAAGCATTCCACTAACGAGACCTGGGCTGGGCTTTTAAGTTTTGTCTTCTATCCTAATAACTATGGTCAATCAAACCAGGAAAAATCCCCTGAAAGCAGGCATGCTGTGTAAGTGCATGTGGTTACAGGATGATGAGTAAAGGAGAGACCTTAGTGGGCTAGATGTATTTCCTGGTAGGAAACACTAGGGATCAGGGATTTAAAAACAAAATAAATACAAATCAAACAAAGCCCTCTGAACTTAATAACTAATCTATTTGAGACTTCAAACTATTCCCCGGGTGGTGGTGGTGGGGAATCATACCAGGGGACACAGAATCTAATGCCTTCAGGGAATAGGTTGATAGTATAAATAAGCAGAGAGAGTAGGTAGGAGACAAAAAGGAATGGTGGGGTCTGTGGTAAACTGGAGAGTGTAAGCCTTACCAAGAGACACGCACGTTCCTTTTTAAAAAAAGCACCATGTTGGCTCAATGAGACAGGACTATACGGCAGATTCAGTCACGACCTGAGAATCTGGGGCCCTATGACCATCCATTTACTATCTCACCTTGCCTTCCAGGGGCCCCTGGAGCTCATCTGTCCTCACCCACCAGAGCCACACAGCCTACCTGCAGCTTGGACCACTGGATCCTGCCGACGCAGCGGGAGGCATTCCGCCAGGCGTGCTTTGCCCCATAGATGAGCTCCGTGTCTTTGAGCTGGTAGGTGCCTGTGGTTTCGATCTCTTTGTTCACCTCTTCCAGCCTCTCTGTGTGGGCCTTGGAGCCAGATCTGAGTGAGGAAGGAAGGGACAGGGGAGGGTCACCTTCTCTCCTGATTTAGGGGTAGGCGAAGGGGGCGAGCCGTCCCACGAGGGCAGAAGCCACAGCGAGTCTGAGTCGACATGAGGACACAACAGTTCAAGCATAAGAAGACTGCAAACTCAAAAGCCCACAAAGGCCCAGTAGTGACTGAACTGGCTGGGTGGGGACTGTGCCCAATGGATGAGTCTATGCCTGGTTCAAAGGGGGCAGCTACCACTCTGCTCCTGCTGGGAGGAGTGGGGGCCGGGGATGCCAGGTCTCCTTTCAAGAGAAACTGGAAATCTGATTTTTATTTTAATTTTATTCATCTATTTATTTATGTTTAAGTAATCTCTACATCCAGTGCGGGGCTCGAATTCACAACTTAGAGATCAAGAGTCATGTGCTCCACCAGCTGTGCCAGCCAGGTACTCCTGGAAATCTGATTTTTTTTTTTTTAAAGAGAAGTCTTTTTATTTTTAAATGATGACAGGGAATTCAATTTTAGAAAGTTGAAAATATTATGAAAAATTTCGGGCTTACAAAAAGGTATCCAGAACAATATAATGAACACCCATGCCTAAGAAATAATCAATGAAAAATGATATTATAGTTCCTTGGGGACTATGTTCCCATTGTAACCCACTTTCTTCCCGGAAGTGTCTCATATTTGTCTTTTTTTTTTTAAAGATTTATTTATTTCAGAGAGAGAGAAAGAGAGAGAGTGACAGCAAATAGGGGGAGGGGCAGAGGGAGAGAGAATGCCAAGCATACTCTGTACTGACCTGGGGCTCCATCTCATGACCCTGAGATCACAACCTGAGCCAAAATCAGGAGTCAGTTGCCTAACCAAGCCACCCAGGGTGCCCCCTCTCATGCTTTTCTTTTTTTATGTTTATTGTATACATACTTACATAAGTATATATATTGTATATATTTACATAAGTACATATATAAGTATTTACATAAATATATATGTGTTATATATATACTTATGTAACTATTCCCTAAACCATGTACAGTATTACTCTGTATGCTTAAAAAGTTTATATAAATGGTGCTACCTTGAATGTTTTCTTTTACAAAGTCATCCTTTCTTCCTTTTGCATAGTTATTTGCAAGCTTCATTCCCATGAACATGCTGAGTGCCAACTCACTCATTTTCTGTAGCTGTTATGACATTCCATGATTTGGAAAATACCACCACTTACTTACACATCCTCTGCTGAGGGAGTCGACGTTCTTTCAGGCTAGCTCTTTGATTTTAATTTTTTTCCTATTATAACAATGTCTCATTGACCATTTTAATGTATGTCTTCTGGTGAACAAGTTAAGTGTGAGAGTTTCTTTAGGGTAGTGTGCCTAGACACAGAATTGCTTGAAATGTTTCAGATTTAAGCAACTTTGTAGGCCAAAGACATTCCTGGGGACCAGATTTGGCCCTTGGGCCACCAGTTTTCAAACTGTGCGTATGGAGGGCAGAGCCCTTATGCTCAGGTCTTGGTTCAACCATCACAGAGTTGGAGTTGAAGTCTTTGTCTTGGTCCTTGGTAATTCACCCTGGGTCCCCAGAGTCAACATACACTTGCCTTTTAATTGACGAGTAATACTGATCAATGAACTCTTTGGCGAGAGGAAAGAGCTGCTCTTTTGTGCGGACGTCTTCAGGCCTTCGTATTTGCTGAGAAGGGAGCATGATGGAGCCCATACAGATGTGCTCGGTGCATCCCGTTTCCTGGAAGGACAAGAGAGATTTGGACGATCACTTGGTCTTACCCAAGTGTAGCACAAGCGGGGCTGTGGACGTGGATCTGACATTCATGGTAGAGTTTACCTGGCCTTTAATACCCAAATGGGATTTCTCAAGTACCAGCTTCAAATCATTGTGGGATGTGGTCACCAGTAAAGGTGAGAATCCACAGGCAGTGTGTTAAAGTTCTGAAAGTGTTTGCTCTACTCATCTAGGGGAAGAGAGGCTTTCTGACTGGCACTGCCTGAGAATCAGACTCATTGGTACTGAATCCCCAAATATTTTTTGATCTTGTGTTGATCAAGAAGGAACTTGTAGAGTGGTTGCAATAGGTCACTTGAACATCTCTCTGGGATGTTGACTGCAGAAAAGTGGCCCCAATTCTTCTCTTGCCTGTATTCATACCCTTTGCAATGTGACTCTAGAGCAATTCTCATCGAGAGGCGGAGCCTATACCCTCTCCCTTTGAATGTGATCTGGTTTTGGTCAATAGAAAATGGCAGAGGTGCTGTTGTGCCCATCCCATGCCTAGGCCTCAAAAGATCTTGTATGCTTCTGCTCATTCTCTCTGAAAACCTTGCAACCACCATATGAACAAGGCCAAGGTAGTTTGCTGGAGGATCAGAGTTATCCTAACCAAGGCCATCCTAGACCTGCCTGGTGTCCCTCAGATGATTGCAGACGCTTGAAATCAACTGAAACCAGCAGGACCACCAAGCCAATCTGTAGACTTTTGGAAAATAATGAGTGGTTGTTGTTTTAAGTCCCTGACTTTTGGGTATATTTGTTTTGCAGCAATAGCTAACCAACACACTATTCTTCCAAGAGGCTCATTTTCAACAAAAATGTAAAGCAATGTGTTGAATTGCTAACTGTTAAAAATATGATCTAAAAGTTTAGCAGAGGGCTGCCCGGGTGGCTCAGCAGTTTAGCGCCGCATTCAGCCCAGGGCGTGGTCCTGGAGACCCGGGATTGAGTCCCATGTCAGGCTCCCTGCATGGAGCCTGCTTCTCCCTCTGCCTGTGTCTCTGCTCTCTCTCTCTCTGTATCTCTCATGAATAAATAAATAAAATCTTAAAAAAATATAATAAATAAAAGTTTAGCAGAAACCCAGTGAAACAAAGGAAGGGCTTTTTCAATACCTTATCAGTGGTCACACTGTGGGAGACAAAGAAGATGTGTTCAGAACCAGCAACTCCACTTGGATTCTTGTGGGTTCAAGGTATACAAATGAAAAGTATTTCCATGAGTAAGTATCCAACAGTGGTTCTCAAATGGGAGTGGATTTCCCTACCAGGAGACGCTGAGTAATATCTGGAGACATTTTTGGTTATCACAAATTCAGGGGGGCTACTGACATCTCATGAGTATAAGCCAGAAATGATGCTAACCACTCTACAGGCACAGGGCAGTCCCCACAACAAAGACTTAGCCAACGCCAAATGTGAAGTTGGTCTCTGTCCTGCTGGGATACTCACCAATGTGCTCTTAAGGTGGAGGGTGTCAGTGAGAACCACATCCGTCTCCCAGTTCTTGACCTTGAGGAAGCGGGGGCACTTGGAGGGGCTTCCATTCTTTGTGGGAGACTGTTTTCCCGAGGCAGGGGGCTGGAGGAGACAAGGAAGTATGGGACATCAGAGACTGGAAAACTGTCTCCACTTGTGGAGATAAATCACAAGTAAACCCGTATGTGAACAATGTAGTATCAGTTGGTGATAAGGATATATGACGATGACTAAGTAGAAGGGAGAAAGGCAAGTGCAAAGGCCCTGAGGTAAGGATAAGCTTGTTAAGTTCAAAGGACCAGCAAGGAGGCCACCGTGGCTGAAATGTAGGAGTGTGATTAGGGCAAGGAGATGAAATCAGGCAGGAGGCAGGTGAGTTGCTCTTCCTGGAATCTGCCAGAGTTACCAAGCACCTGCACAGAGAGAAGGACTCATTCTCCCACGTGACACCTACAAGGTGGTTGGGAACCTGGTCCCTCTACCTATGCCAAAGGAGGCACTGTGGAAAAGCCTTTTGGGTTCTATTCTTTGGGGAGGGGTCAAGAACTCAAAGGTGGCCTCTCTGGTGTCTAGCACAGGTCCTTGCAGATAGCAGGGACTCACTGAATGTCTGCTGAATGAGTAAATGACCAAGGGACAGAGTCTGCCTCTCTGAATGGTGCTGGCTTTTAGGCCTGAGGAATCAAAGCTGAAGCTAGGTCAAATTCCTTGGATTCCTGGGCTTCCCTGCTATAGTCCAAACTCACTACATCTGGTGAGCACTGGGAAAACGGAAAAAATTAAGTTAAAAAATTTCAAAGTATAGAATATTTCCCCTGAATTTTATGCTTCTGTCTCTCGAAAATGCCAAATGTGTTCCTGCCTTTGGGCCTTTGCACTGACTGCTCCCTCTGTGTTGAACACCTTCAGTCTCCCATCTGTCTTCCCTTCTATAAACAAAATGTCCAGTTGGTGTTAGGCGATAAGTCTTGGGCTGACCAAAGTTGGCCCATCCATTTTAGATCTCATTAATAAGGATTACGTTCTGTCTTGGGTGTTTCCGAGTAATTGTCTACCTGTCTATGCATCAGACAAGCGTCAGTCAGCAACTGTAAGGGAGAAGCAGCAGGTATGCCCAGCTAGGTGGGGGAAGGGAGAAGACAAACCAGTGTGGAGTGACACTCATGCCAAAGAATGGAGCCCTGGACAGAGACCTTGTGGGAGGGCATTCACACACTCAACTAGTATTTATTGAGCACCTACTATGAGCTAGACACTGTTAGGCAATGGGGGCACTGTGGTGAGCAAGACAGAGAGTGCTCTGGCCCTTCTGGGACACTGATGTGAGAGAAGTGGAGATAAGTCACAAGTAAACCCGTATGTGAACAATGTAGTATCAGCTGGTGGTAAGGATATATGATGATGACTAAGTGGAGGGGAGAAAGGCAAGTGCAAAGGCCCTGAGGTAAGGATAGGCTTGTTAAGTTCAAAGGACCAGCAAGGAGGCCACCGTGGCTGGAGTGCAGGAGGGTGATTAGGGCAAGGAGATGAAGTCAGGCAGGAGGCAGGAGGAACTGGGTTGGTGGAACTCAGGTGGGTAAGGAAGCTGTGAATTACACTTAAGTGGGCTAAGTCCAGGAAAGAAATCATAGAGCATGCTGAAGGGCTAAGACTGAAAACTGGCATTCAAGAAGCATTTACTGTATGCCAAGCAAGAGCTTATCATGCCCATTTTACAGATGAGGAAACGGAGGCACAGAGAGGTTAAGTTGCCCAAGGTCACAGAGCTAGTACACTGGAGCCAGGAGTCAAATCCTGGAAGTCTGTCTTTCAAACCATGTTCTTTTTCTTTTTCTTTTTTTTTAAATTTTATTTATTTATTTGACAGAGAGAGACAGAGAGAGAGAGAGAGACAGAGAGAGAGAAGGCACAAGTAGGTAGAGTGGCAGGCAAAGGGAGAGGGAGAAACAGGCTCTCAGCTGAGCAGGGAGCCTGATGCCGGGCTTGATCTCAGGACCCTGGGATCATGACCTGAGCCAAAGGCAGACACTTAACTGACTGAGCCACCAGGAGTCCCTCAAACCATGTTATTAATTGTTGGACTCTCCTGCCTCTTCGCCATTATGCATAAGTCATTCATTCATTCATTCAACATATGTTTATTGAGTAGGTTCTATGTTCCAAGCAAGGCAGCAAGGGCCAGGGCTATAGTGACAACTAGACAGATGAGAACTCTGCCCTCATGGAGTTCTTAGTGCAATGTTGGGGTGGGGGGAGAGATGACAGTTGTATGATCATTATAATCAAGTACCAGTGGGTGTCATAATATGGGACGTTGGTGGTGTACAAAGGACTGTGGAAACACAAAAGAGAGACACCTAACCTATAGCATTTAGGTTACTTAGCATCAACTTCTAAGTTGAGATCTGATCTGAAGGACAAGTAGGTGTTAATCAGGCAAAGAAAGAAGAGCAAGGTCTTGCAGGCAGAAAGAACAACTTATGCAAAGGTCCTGAGGTGACAGGCATATCATAGCCTCCTTTCTGGCCAGTGGAATAAGAGCTCTGTGCTTAAGCATCTATGTTGCTATGTTAGTATCTGGGGAGCTGAGGATAGGTGAACAGCATGTTAAAGACAGCTCCAGAACCATCCAAGTGGTAGCAGAGAACAAAAGGAAGGTGCCATGACTCCTGATCTTCCACACCTCCCTGCTGTGGCCAGATCCGGTCATCTCCAGTGGTTCCCATCTCAGTGCTGGGCATCACCATCCATCCACCTGTGCAAGACACAGGTGGGAGCTATCCTGGACATAGTACTCTTTATCCTCCACACCTGATCCTCCCCCAAGTCCCCCCATTTTAGCTTCAAAATAGCTCTAGAATACACCCCTTCCTTTTTCTCCCCATCTAACCAGCCAGTACCCTCGCCAGACAAAATCATCTTTCACTTGGATGAATGTGATCACCTCCTAAATGTCAGCCACCACTTCCTGCTCTTAGTGTCATAATCTGCTAGGGTCAGTACCCCTGCTAGTCCTATCAGTAATGCCACGGCCATAAGTGTTACTATAGTCCTGCCACACCAGGAACAGGAGAAGGATGTAGGAGTCTTCCCTTCACTCCCATTTGCACTTTCTGCCTGCTGAGCTCTGAGTTATTTTACTATGTCGCCTTGTGAAGCCACATGCAGACAGTTCCATTTCCTTTGAAGGCCTGGCCAGACAGCACCAACACTTCTTTAAGATCTGTCTTCACTACAGTCTCTTCCAGCAGACATGCAAGGGATGGAAGTCACATCTTTGGGCAAGACTTTGTAGCAACACATTCCTCCGACCATGCCAACATGAGAACCAAAAAAATCTGACCTTGCCCATGCGGGAGGCACCCGAGCCATCCTCCCTAAATATTGCACATCATTCAGCCAGTTTGCAAACTCTCTTAACCACCCACATGGATGTCCTGGAAGCTGGGGAGCAGCTGGAATCCCAGAGAGAGGATAATGGGACAGACACAGTGCTAGCGCTGGGGTCAGGCCTAGGATCCATGGAGGGGGTGGGAGGGCAGGTGGATGGGGAGCAGAGTGAGGCAGGGGGAAGAGGGGTGGGGTACAGCTAGTGGGTGGGCAGCCGGCAGCCTTCATCGGCAGTGTGTGGAGGGAGTAACAGGCATAACGAAAGAGGCCATCTGTTGAGGTTCCAGATGTGTGAGGGGTGGTCATTTCGAGCCAAGGAATGGGGGGCTCAGGCACGAGCTGCGCCTCTCTGCCCGCTGGGCTGTGCTGAACTGCACACACTTGAAACCAGGCATTAGGAAGCCTCTGGCAGGGCTGTTGTACTTGGGGCTTTGATGTTTTAATTAGCCAGCAGTAATATTAGATGACTCAGGAGGGGACAAATGGGGAGATTAATATAGCAGTCAGGGGCCCTGCATGGGGCATGCAAATGACTTTTCCGAGTGGGGCTGAAATGTTCTCGTTAAAAATGCAGATTAGTGGCACTTGCGAGTTATTAAGCTGGGGACAGGGCACAGGTGGGCTTTGGGCAGCAGCTCCACGTGTCCTTTACTAGAGTTGTGCCTGGTGTGGTCAGCGGACGCTGTTTAGGTGATGGGAGATCCTGGTTAGATCTTGGTGGGCTCTGTGGGAGGGCTGCCTGGGACATCGCTCCTAAGTGGGCATTTCAAAGGCTCTGTCCACACCTCTTTGCTTCTGGAGCCTGCAGGGGCTGTGAAATGGAAGGTCGTGGCCTTGCAGTCCAAGAGGAGATAGTGAGGGAGCCAGGAATTCAGCCTTGTAGGCACCCTGACACCCTGGTTCCTTCTGCCCTCTCCTTCTCTTCCATCTCCCTCTCCTTCAACAAATACACACTGAGCACCTACTGTGTGCCTGGGACTCGTGTTCTTGGCCCTAAGGTGGTCCCCACTCTCATCCCGCAACCAGGAGAAGCCTCATCTGGCTGCGTGCCACAGTCTCAGACTGTGGCCCCGGGGACAAACCTGGTCCGCTGCCTGCTTTTTATGCAGCCCACAAGCTAGGATTTTTTTCCCCCCATCTTTAGCCCGTTGAATAAAAATATCAAAAGAAGAGTCGTGTTTCATGATACATACAAGTTACATGAAGTTCAAATTTCAGTGTCCATAAATAAAGTTTTATTGGCACACAGCCACCCTCATTTGTTCTTAGATTATCTGTGGAGGCTTTAGGGATAGGGCAGCAGAGCAGGGTCGTTGTCACGGAGACCAAGGTCCTAAGGGCCACAGAGGCTAAAACTATTTCCTACCTTTCCCCTTACAGAAAAATCTAGACTCTTGATCCAGAGAATCGACTTCCAGTGGTGGAACGCTTAAGTTATTTTTACCTGTGTCTCCACTTGCTTAAATGGCCCTGCATTCGAGATCTTTCCTGATTGTCCTTTAAAATAGCGCCCCACCCAGTATTCTGTGCTCCCTTATCATGCTTTAGTTTTCTTCAAGGCATTTATCACTGCCTGCAATTCGCGAGTGTATATGTATTTGCATGTGAATGTATATATGTCTAAGTCTCTATGTCTTATGGATCCGGTTAGACATAATACATACATATATATACATATATATGATGTCTACAGATATGGTTTTCTGCTTACC